ATTTATTCTCGCCTGCTACACTTTTGCATTTTTTATCCCTAACAATCAATTGAATAGATTTGCGTATAAACTTTGTGTTGAAATGAACAACGTCGCAGTGAGAAATCACGGGCTGTTCCGGGGGTTGGAACACCCCTTTTCTTGCAGATCAATGCTTTTGAATAGGGACATATGGTCGGACCCCCCTTTATCTTTGGTTGGAATCCCCTTTTGAAAATGGCTGGATCGACCCCTGTGTCGTCAGTGCATTCTATATTACAATTCCATGAAAATAGTACCAGTCTCGGAACAGGGGTTAAAGCTCATGTTTCGAGCATACAAGTCACACCCATGTTCATGAGGGATAATTATCGACACCGGGAAATAACCTTCCATACTTAATGATTCCCAAGATCTCTATTATAATAATTGCATAAAAGAAAAACAACTTGGAACTCGTTTGTCATTTTTTGTTTGTAGTTGTTGAAAACATAGATAGCAAAGTTTTAACTATTTGAGTACACCTATTCTTACATTTCAACTGAGTCTGGCGAACAGTCTAAAATATATTTTCGACATAAAGAAGTTCGTTGATAACTGTTTTTTTGGGGTTTTTTTCTCGAATAGTTGTGATATTTTTTCTATTGAAACCAAAAACGTAGACAAAAGTGTTTGTCTTATTCAGGAAAAAAATTTAAAAAATCAAATTTATGCCGAACGTCAAGTGATATTTCATGAAGAATACATAGCTCAAAAACACCTGTCCGCAGTATTTCCTCATTCTCTTTAAAACAAAAACAAAAAGAGAGAAAGTATGTCTTAGCATAAACATGCTAACATGCTCCATGGTTGATTGCACCTTTCCTAACACAAAGTATTGCTGACTTTTTTTCAGCAATTGTCCCAATCTAGCTACTGCAACGACGATTGCGACATTTTGTGTGTCTCATATTAAATTTATTTTTAAAATAATGTTAGTTCATTCTATTATATTTCGTACTTTTCAACCTAGATAACACCGTATACAATAATTAATGTTAACACATTGCTGCAAATATATTAGAAAAAAATCGTTGTTTAACTACAGAAAAAATCACTATCGTTACATTGTTTTGGATCGACGGTTTATTTTTACAGTTTGAGAAAGCCCAAGATTTAAATTCTACCTGTAAGTGTAATTGTAATCCTAATCGTAGGTGTATGACAGTTTCCGCAAATGTCTAATACCATTAGCTTTATACTTGTTGATGTGGCTTACAAGGACAAGTACCGGTACATTGAAACTAATGATGTTTTAGGATTCATGTATTTTCGTGGATTTGGGAAAATTATATCTTCGTGGATAAATTATTTCATGGTTTCGACAAATTTTGCATACACGTCTATATGACTTGTACTTCGTTGAACACTGAAGCTCATGGTTCGCCCATACCATTAAAATCCACGAAAAGTAGTTTCCCGCAAATAATAATGAATCCACAGTAATAAAAATTAAGTCCCAGACTTCACTGTTGTCAGTAAAAAGTAATTAATAATATGGTGATATAATTGTCCTTGCATATCGTCTGTTAATGTCAGCGTCAGGTCCATCACTTGCAAGTCCTATAACTCTGGGATGAAAAACCATAAACTTTCAAAATCGAAATAGTCCTGATTCACCAAAACCTACAACAGCATAAAGCTTGTAGTAAATTGATCCAAGATCAGGTGGCTGACATGTAGAATACTACCTTTTATTAATCTGACCATCAAAGTCCCATAACTGCGGATTGACATTTTTTGTTTAATCAAACGGTATCTCTGTAATGACGCCACCAATGAATGTTTAAATCAAAAGGAAGCTTACTTCTGTCAATCCTAATGTTGCATTCAAATTTTGTGGGAATTGTTTAAAGTGAAATTGAATTTTTGTAGGAAGTTTTTATGGACAAAAGTACGGTATGCCATAATATGTCCCATCTAAGACGGGCTTATAATACCACACTTATGAGTAGATGTACAAAGGAGATAAATATCACCTTTCCCATTATTCCCATTAATTAACAACCCGATTAACCACATCTCACTTAAGAGTATGATACAGCGAAGCACTTCAAAGCTTTTTAGAAAAGCTAAAACTGGTAAAGTCTTTGATTTGACCCGACCGGGATTCGAACCAACGAGGCGATCACGCTTCCCCGAAACCACTGATATGGTAAAGAATGATTGAGGAAGAACACAAAAAGCACCAACATAACTTGATAGCTTTATTTACAAAATCGCTTTATTATTATACAGCAGATCTACAGTAGAACTTTCCGACTAGAAAATGAATTAAATACTTGGCACTGGACGTTACATAAATAACATTAAATTTATTCAACATACCTATTAATTATCTCAAATTTTAATAGTTTAAATTCAAGAATTTTCTTAACACATTCTATCAATGAATTAAAGTAAATTCAATATACATACGTCTTTGATAAATGGACTTTTTTCAATAGACAAGGAGCTATAACTCAAACTTAAATCCTAGTAAAGACTAATTAGAATAAGCATGCATTTTTCGAATATGGGGCGTTTATTTATTTCATTATTATTTTTTTATGTATATTCTATTTCAACCATTTGACAATTTGGGTGTACATCATGAAACCGTTTAGCATTTTGGGACATGCCTTCTGCCTGACTGATCCCAGACAGGTCCAAGTATGTCCAAGCTGAAATCAAGCCACGCTGTCATGGTTTTAATCTAGCGTACCGTTAAACTGTACCTACTCCCATGGGATAGTGCGTATATAAATTCTAATTCAAATTCTTAATTTACCCTCAGACACATTGAGTGTACAAGAGGATATTCTCACTAGAAAACAGACTGAGCAATTAACTGATCTCACTTAATTCATGTATTTCAACTGGTCAAAAGAAAACATACCCGCATCTGCATAATAAATCTAAAATAATGGCGATATCATAAAATTGTACAGTAATTAATAAATTTTATTTGTATTATTTGTAGATTTCACAAATATTAGCGCATTTTTCCCGTGGTTCTACAGTGAGAATAATTAACTTTGTTTTAGATGTCCCGAAAGGGGATGTGGAGCCGATTTATTTGCTTGCTTGCTCTCATAATAGAAACAGGAAGATGGAATGGAATTCCTAGAGATGAAAGACAGTGTCATCTCTGCTCCTTGTCAATTGGAAATAAATTTCACTATCTATTTGAGTGCTAGTCTGTTATTGTTTAAAAAAAAATAATTTGCATCTTGTTACACGTGTATATGTGTTTGAGTGTTTCAAAATGAAGTATTGTATTACTTTAGTTGAATCTTCTCCTTATAATATAGCCATCACTGCCAATCCCTATTTAAATTTTTGAGTGAAACAAAAATATTAAGAGGTTATTTCTATTTTTGGAATAACCCTCCTATCCAAATTGAAATAAACCCCCTTGCCAAAATATAAAAACAAAACAAAAATGAGAGAGGAAATTGTAGAATGGTGTTATGTGGTAAAATGTATAGAATGTACGTAAAAAGCTGCGAAAAAATGCAGTTTTGTACTTGAAATTTTTAATAAACAGAATTTCGAGAAATCAGAAGTAAGGGCATACGATACATAATTTTTCTTAAAATTTTGACACAAAGTCAATTTTGATATGCACTACTAGAAATTAAAAAAATATATATATCTCTGAATATAGATCAAACAATTAAAATATGATTGTATTCCGAATAAAACGCTAACGTTAGAGTGATTCCCCAAAAAATATGGCAAAAGGAACAACAGTTAATTAAATTTCCTTTCCTTTTGTTTAGTTCCCATTTCTTGATTGTGATGATCCATGACTCCTTCATGTAATGTCTCATATGGTTCACAATTGGTTCGATATTTATATACATGTTTGTAGTAACGTCTCAGGTAAAAATGTATTTTTTCAGTTTATTCTTATGTTGGTGTGTGGGGAGAGTTGGAGTGCTCACAAACCTGTTTAATCCAGCTACATTCATTTTGTGCAATTCCCAAGTAAAGAGCCTGTTATTCAGTGGTTGTCGTAGGTTGCTAACTGCCATATCTTTTTTTTTTCGTATATTGATTTTAGTATAAATAAGGCATTTGGTTTATATTCTTTTGAATTGTTTCACATTTTGAAAGCTTACTTTGTGGTATGGATTTTCCTCATTGTTGAAGGCCCTTCGCTAACTTTTAGTTGTTCACATACTCGGTTTACTTTTTTTTTGAGGGGGGGGGGGGTCTCTTGTGGATAGAAGTTTCATTTGCAATCTTACAAAAGCTATTATTGGGGTAAGTATTTTTTCTTGGACTGATTTTCATTAAATCTTTTTTCTTCTTATACGTTAACAACAGACTAGTTGAACCCCGCAACATGTCAATGTATATGAATAAAGGGAGACGTTGGTTGGTATACGCCGATCATACAGCATTCCAATAACACGAAAAAACAAATGACATCTGGAAGTGAACGTACGCACTTCAACAATAACATAGACATGCGTACAATATATTATATCCAGTACTAAATCGACCAAATTTTAATAAAAAAGAAAAGAAAAGAAAAGAATAACAGAGCCTATCAAAGATCAGTCATCAACACCAAATTCCCATAACTGACAAAAACACATTAAGATATGCCAAAAGACAATCATGTACGTGGTAACTGACTGGAACAGGGACATGAACGTTCCTGGATTCAAGTGTTCTATTTCAATTCCGATGCAACTGGTTTGGCATTATCTACCTGCTTTAAATTAAGTAACATACCTTTGTACATTGTATTAAATTCTATTTTTATAATTACACATCTTTTGTTGAAACGATATAAAAAAAATAAAACAATTATAGGAACAAAATTTGAAATCTAGATTTAAATTTGTGTATTTGATCAGCTTGAATGAGACAATATATAAAATAAACAAAGGAAAATTGCATAAACCTCTTGAACTAACAATTTACCTGACCAAAAGTTTACCTGTCAATTATCAGATAATTATAACCGAAATAAGACACATATTTGTGTAAACATACGACAAAGTGTTCTTCAAAGACTTCGATTGTTTGTAAACTAAATCGTCTTCGATTTACTAAGTAAATCACCCTTTATTGTTGAAAGTAAAAGATTGTATAAATATGTTAGGCCATATGAGATGAACACGATCGGGATATATAAGATAATCAAAAAATTTCAAAATGTAGATATAAAATCGATTGTTTCAAGAGGTAATTAAATGTAAGTACATATTAGATTTTTTTTTTAAGAAAACGGTTAAGAGGTTATAACTGTTATCTGTTTGATTTACGAGAATTTTCTCATTGATATTATACAATTTTCACATTTAATAATGGATTGCACCAATTATGTACATTCAATTCATAGTCGATCATACATGATTTACTACAGTGAACTGCATTTAATCCTTCATATACTTACTCATATACATATTTTTCACTGCGAAAGAGCTGTGATGTTATGAAATCGCTGTATATTAGGAAAGTTTACAGTTTCAGGAGCAACATGAGATTTGTAACCTTAAGTTTATATATTCCGTCTGAATTACTTGTTAGATTTTTCCTGTGCAAGTGCTTTTGTTTTCCTCGTTTCCGAAAGGAATAAAAACATTTGGTGTATTCGTCATTGTAAAAGCAATCTGACATTCTCTGGAAGACAAACATTAAAAGATGTAGCTAGAGACAATCACTGACCTTGTTCCCAACTTAAAACAGGAAAATGAACATAAATAGGAATTAATCTAGTTATCTTGAGAACTTGGTCATTCCTTTTATTCTCGGTCAGTTACAAATGATATATCGGAAGAATGTAACCTCAATATTATATATGTCGTACATAGTATATAGTATAAAAATAAGAAGAGTGGTATGATTGCCCATTATATGAGAAAACTATCATATAGGGGGCCAAGCACATACAGCTTGTGCTGGGGTTTAAACATGCGTGTAACTGCTCTTTTTGGACAGTGCTGTAACAGTACAACACTAGAAAAAAAACCTGTTTAAGTCCGTTGAAAAGAGCTCGACTTTCTAGAACGGGACTTGGCAACCCCCAAAAAATGACAAAACATACGAAGTACCGATCCTAGACTAGCACTAAGTTTTTCTTATGCAATAAAGTAATACAAATTAATATTTTTTTATTTTTACCATGCAGTTAATCAGTATCATTATCACTGCTGATAGTCTTGAAATCTTCGCCAATGTTATCTGTGAAGCATGCAAAGCGTCTATCTCAAACGACACTTCATTCTATAGGTTATTTCAGTTAATGTCAATGTTCCAACTGGCCCGAGAATTCAGTTATTTCGTAGTGCATTTCTTTTAGACAATAAATTAAAATTAAAAAAATCGCACCTGCTCCTCCTCAAAAAGTTTTTTTACAGTGTAGTGTACTACTTTTGGGACAAATAGTATCAAAATTATAGAAAAGTTTACCAGCTCTAACTCAAAATATGGACAATTCTATGTTGAGGGGGTCTATAATTCAGTTTGACAGCTTCAGGCATACTAATTTTGACCTTTTTTAACTGGACCAAATCACTACTTTACATAAAAATTCATCACCCCAATTTTATTAACATGTAATTTCATCCCCCTACTTAATATTTCATGCATAAAATATAAGGAAATAAATTTGGAAAGTGTTTGAAAAAAATTGGCAAGTTATACACTGTCCACACTAGGGACTATATTACTGTGTCCTCGGACCAACTTCCAGAGGTAGACAGTGTTGACAGTGTTGAAAGTGTTGACTGTTATTTAGTATCAACATTTATATGAGTATTTTTTTCAAATTTTATTTCACCACTGGATAACGGAAATGCAACTTTACGTACTAAATTTCAGTGGCATCTGAAGTTTGTATCGTAATGAGGCTCGTAATTCTGTTTTTTACTCACATGTTTGTCCATTTTTATAAATTGAGTGTGCAATATTTACCGAAAATCGGTTATACTATTTTTTTTGTACTTTGACTTACACATAATAGTTATTTCTAACCTGTAGCTTAGTGCATTCTGTAATTTTATAGACATCATCGCCGAAGTTTTTCTCTATCGTTATCGGAGACACGTGCAAAGAATATAAGAAGAGTTTTCTTGGTTGGACGTACCAAATAACGTGAACATCAGGGTTTCATATTTTGATTAAACTAAAGTGAATAAAAAAATCTCTTCACTTTGTGTACTAATAATCACCAGAACTGGAAGTAGCAAGAAAGGACGTCATTATTTAATTATGATTGATTGATTGTTTGTTGCTTAACGTCCAGTGGCAAATATATTTAATTATGTTGCAACACTATACGAATTGAATTCATAGATTTAACAATAGACATTTCATGTAAAAAACACAGCGGTAAATGTAAATAAATATCCGCCTCAAGAAACCTGTGCTATAAAAAGATTTTGTGCAATAGATAAACTTTTGATAAAAAAATGTTGACGAACCAAATTACAAAAAAAAAATACGCCACAAAATTAAGTTCCGAAAAAGTTACTTGTACGAAAATAAGGCTCTCCCAAAATGCACTCGTTTTACATTTTCATCAAAATTGACATCTATAACAAATTTCATCCCTGTGTAGTAGTTTTGTTTCACTCTTTTTAATTAATTAAAAGTAATTTTTCAAAGTGGTGTTAATTTGTAATCATTTGCAAATGTGATAATTTAGCCTGTGAATTAAGTCTCATTATTGATATAAATAAATGATCAAACACACAAAGTTCATTTTAATAAAAAGATGTGTTAACATTTTATCTCGTCGTCAAGGAACAGTCATAAAGGCGTTAATATTGAGTACTTTGTTGCAGTTATTATATGAAACAATGGTTGAAAGATTTTAAATGGTTTTATTGTATTGTTATCCGAACAATGTCACATAATTTAGTTAGTAGTAAACAAATACAGTAGGTTCACATAAAGATTAGATAATTGCTGGTCAGGAGTTTTTAAAATATCACAATAACCTGTAATCATTAGTTTGGGATAAAAGAATTGTTCGTGACAAAAAATGTCAATAATATTAAAATTGCTTTAGCGTAATATCATTTAGTATGATGTCTAACAGTTTGAACATTTAATTTCCCTATTGCCTAATAAATTTTCCTTTTTCATTTAATTTAATTTGAGATAGAAATAACTGATCAACTAAACAAATTTCAAAATTTAAATTAAGGGATCATCACTAGATTCCAGCAACAACAAAAACAGGAAATGTCGTCTGCTTTTTAATCATGTATCCTGTACGTATTACTGTCTGCTTGTTTATGCTACATTGGCTAGAGGTATAGGGGAGGGTTGAGATCTCACAAAACATGTTTAACCCCGCTGCAATTTTTGCGCCTGTCCCAAGTCAGGAGCCTCTGGCCTTTGTTAGTCTTGTACATTGTATGTGTTTTTAATTTTAGTTCATTTATATGTTTCGGAGTTTAGTGTGACGTCCATTTTCACTGAACTAGTACACATTTTTGTTTACGGGCCAGCTGAAGCCCGCCTCCGGGCGCGGGATTTTTCTCGCTGTGTTGAAGACCCATTGGTGGCCTTGGGCTATTTTGTGCTCTTTGGTCGGGTTGTTGTCTCTTTGACACATTCCCCATTTTCATTCTCAATTTTATCCTATTGAAACGATCTGTTGACTAATGAAGATTGCTCCCTTCACAGACGACTACTGATATGTTCCAATAGTCGGAGCCGCAATCCCGTCCACTTTTCTTCGATTGTGACATCACTAAATGAGACTTTTTGTCGAATTTGTACTCACAATGATTAACACGACGGGTGTCACTAGTGGAGCAGGATCTGCTTACCCTACGGTAGCACACGAGTTCACCCCAGTTTTTGGTAGGATTTGTGTTACTCAGAGTTATGTTTCTATGCAGTGTTTTTCTAACTTTTTGTTTTCATCGTCTTTCGTTTTTTTCCATGGTGTTGTCATTTTTTCTCGACTTATGACTTTGACTTCCCTTTGGTATTGTTCACCCTTGTTTTATATTTACAGCCCCTTAAAATGTGAAGATTGTATGCTGAATAGAATTTCATAACTCAAGGTGCAAAGAGACAGACATGAAAGTAAAACAACTAGCATTTTATGTAATCAAGATGAAGTTACTTATGCAAACCAATTAACTCTTTCTTGCTATAGGAAAGTATGAACTTACTTTGAAAAAAATACTGGCCGTTTTGCAAAGACTGAAAAAAAAAGCTGAAGCTATTCAAATTCCTGTGTCACAAAAAAATAACAACCTCTAGTTGTTTCAATAACCGAATACGGTAAAACATATTAAAATATAAAGTTTCTATATATATTTTTCTTTTACTTTTTGAAACGTTACCTTAATGGTCACACTAAGAATGTTCAGCAAACAAAAAAGTTATTTAAAATGTGTGCTCATAAAAAAGAAATTTGATAGTAAAAAATCTTTAAATTATTTTGTAAAAATAGACCACTTTTCGGTATCTGAGATTATTATCCGAATTATATCAATTTTGTCATGTATAATTTATATTAAGCACGGACTTATAATGTTATATATCAAATTGCACAGAATAAGAAGAGGGCGATTTCGAGGACAAACAGGAAAGGGAGAAATGTAACATGTACATTCTATTGTGTCCTACTGAAAATGTTTGACAAGCAGAGTTTAATAAAAATGTCAGAATAATTCATGATCATGATGTGTGTTGTCACCCAAACTATTCAATAATCAGACTAAACTATGTTTAATTTTAACTATGTATCATGATTTGTCGACTATTAATGTAGTATTTTATCAGATATACCCTTTAGTTCTTCTCTTATCACTTACTTTAATAATGGGATCTTTTTGTCAAATTTAAATCTTCACGACAAATCAATGTTCGTTCACTATAATGCAACTTTAAAACTTTAAATTTGACACAATGAGCATCATGCTTAACTTAATGTTTCAAAATGGAGTTTATATCTTCTGAGATTTTCTCATGTCAACATGTAAGTAAATTCGAATTTATTTTACTTTAAATTGTATTCTGTTATACATTCAATTTAAAATGCATTACATGAATGTACACTGGGCGTGCAATTTGTATTAAAATAACTATAATTTTAATAGCTATAAGATCTTCAAAATTGACTTTCAAATTGGTATGTAACAGGTGGTGCAAATTGATGCTTTTTTCAAATTATTTTTTAATAAAGCTCATTATTGATTTACTAAAAATTAAACTGAAGGTAAAATTAAAGCGATGGTTATAAAAACTGTTTTCTGATATGGACATTCCACATTTATTCAGTAACAAAAATGGGCTCAGCATACTTTATTTATAGTCAGTATTACATATATGACGTAGAATCAACTGAAGTAATTGGTGTTTTGTGGGGTTTGATTTTAAACAAAATATATTTTGATCTGAAAGAACATTAGACTAACAACAACTGCATCAAGTTAGTGATAGGTTCAGCATATAAGTATTTTGTTAATAATACAGATGTGGGGTAAATATATGATTGGGCACTTAAAGTAATCTTTCATTTTTTTAATCAAAAGCGTTCGATATAAATGCTGGTAACAACCGAGGGGGTCTGGAATAGCGCAGTAGCATGCTCGCATCGAGTGCGGTAGGTCATTGGCTTAACCTCGGATCAAACCGCAGACTTGAATCGTGATATTTGATATTACCAACTTAGCAAGCGACATTTAAGAGTAAGAGCAATGAATGGTTGACTTGAATTCAGAATAGCATGTCGGGGTATGATGTCATATCTTTAAGCTAGCACGTTAAAAATCTGGTTCAGCGTATCGTCAAGTTGGAAGCAGGTGTCATAATCATATCAAATAAACATGTTCTCTTCCTTATTTCTATGATATATTTGACATTGGATGTGAAACACCAATCCATGCATTACCACTGACTGGTAATCACCAAACGAGAGCACCATTATCTCATTTCTGACAGCATGATCTATATATAACATTGAAAGGTGTAAATTTCACTCGTATATCTACTTAAACTTACTATAGGTAATATTTCAAGAAACATTTGGTGGCAAAACGACTGATATTATCAATTCACAAGTTCTTCCATCGCCCTCATGAATTGCTTTATCGTCATGATATCACAGTTGCTAATCTCACTAGTCCTCTGTAAAAGATCCCACGAGTCCACAGATGTAAAAATAGAAAGGTACGGAAGATACCAAGGGACATTCTTAACTCATTAGACGAAGAGAAGCTGACAACGCCATAGCAAAAAAACAAAGAACGAAGAAAAGACAAAGTCCACAGAACACTTCATAGAAAACTAAACTGACCAACACTAACCCCACCAAAACCGGGGATGGTCCCAAGTGCTCCAGAAGGGTAAGCAAATCCTGCTGCACGTGTGTCGCCCGTCACAAATTCGGTGATCAGATAGTTCTCATTTGTTGATGTAAATCAGACATTATTTAGGTTTGTAATTAACCTGATTTTGACTTTTATTACTAGATGCGAGTTATATGGTAATGGGTCCATGCTTTTCTTCTTCGGAGTTGGTGCTATTTCGTCTGTTTTTAATTTCCATTGTGTGTTTGCTGTATACCTTGACCAATGAGACTACCTGGACATTGAATTAACATGTTAACTTTGTTTTCAACTCCCTCAGATAAAATTTGACCTGGGGCGATTTTGTTAACATAAATTTTTTTACGTGTTCAAAAATTTGGCTTCTCAAACGTTAAACACCAACAATCAATCCAATGGTTAAGACAATATATGTATGTAAGTTCCCATAGATACCAAATGATTTACACCTTTGTTGATTATAGTAGTCTGTATGGTGACCTATAGATTGAGTTTGAATTATACCTATAAACCCTTCGAAAGAGTTTTGCAAGGGTTCTTTTACGTACATGCCGAGAGCTTAAAAAATGTTTCTATCCCAACACGGACATCGAATATTACTACTAGGGGGTGTTTAACGCCATTGACTACCCATGAGGTACATTGAATATAAAGTCCCTATCCAAATGTATTACATATGGTGTGTAGCATTCTTTTTTTTCATTGGTTATTACGATCACGAGAGGCCTTGTTTCTATTTTTAAGTATATGGACGATGTTTCTTTTTATATATATATATTGACGGTCAATATTAAAAATCTTTCAAAATACAATGTAGAATACAGAGAAAAAACATTGAAGTCCATTTCCATTATACACTATTTACATAAAGTTACGAGGTCAATACGTTATATATGGACCTGTTCAGATTATATTGACCGAGGACGATGTCCGAGTGTCAATATAATCTAACAGGTCCATATATAACGTATTGACTGAGTGAAAGTTCTTAATTTATATATATATGGACCTGATATTACAATATGTAATATAAAGATTAAGAACTTTCACTCAGTCAATACGTTATATATGGACTTGTTAGATTATATTGACACTCGGACATCGTCCTCGGTCAATATAATCTGAACAGGTTCATATGTAACGCATTGACCTTGTCCATATTAACAAGGCTGTTGTGCATCTAGGCATGCACAATTTTGAGTATTTATTTAAAAAAATAATGTATGAGAAGAGGCCATCCAAAACCAAAATTATGTGGGACGTTGAACTATGTAATTTCCTTCGAGTATAAATGATTTCATTTTGGTTAGAGACGTCCTTCGATAACAAAATTACAAAAACGTATACAATTTACAATATTGTCTTCAAGAGCAATATTCAGCACTGAATATTTTTTTTTATATTTAATTGATATATTCAAAATTGTTGATAATTTGTGTGAGAATATATTATTGTAATATAGACTCTTTAATATTCAAATATTAGTAATCATTAACAATTTTCAGATTTTAACCTTGTGAGTGAAACACAAGCAGGGAAAATGGTCCTACCTCTTTGAAAGGAAGAATACGTTGCACGGAATCGAAATATTTCCATACTGTACTTGATATGCACAAAACAACAACATGAAAATATATTTTACTTTTCATGTTGAAAAGTTGTTACAGTCTAACGTAGAGAATAACTCCTAAAAACCTTGGTCTTGGGAAATAGATTTACCGCCCCACCCCATTTTTGTGTTCCTTTTTATATTCGTTAAACCTTGGTTCATCAAAACCAATTGCTTCCCCCTCGGGCACACACACACAAACACTTGCATACACATACACTTACACATAACCTGCACTTGCTATTGCAAGACATATAGAAAGTTCATGAAACATTTTGACGTGAATCAAATGTTCTTTTGATATGCTTGTATTACTTGAATTACTATACGCCATCATGACAAATTATTTTTCCATTTCAGTTTATAAATAGATAGGTTGCGTTTTCTTCTTCAGACTGCGATATTCTTTATTTACTTTGTCGAACCACGAAGCAAACGCCATCCTAGGACTTTGCTTTTTTTCTCTATTTTGAATGCGAATGTCTTTAATTTTTACATTTTTCTCAAATATACTACCTACAAATCATTTCCAATTATTACAAGTAGATGTTAAAGGGAAACATTTATTATAAACTGATACAATCATATTTTTTTGATGAAATTAAATATTTGTAGTGCTATCTAGTGAAATGTACAAAATCATGGATATCACAATAATTCTAAAGCGTTCATTGTAGTTTAAAGGTAACGGTAAAGAGATTTGTAAAAAGTATTATTTATTGTAATGCACTTCTGAAACTCTTTTGTATTGCGATATTCGCAATGAAATTTTGAAAAAAAAAAGCAATAAGCTGAAGCAGTCACAAAATATATAAATAGAAGAAAAGATTATGTGGTGTATTCATCAATGACACAACCAAACGACACTTAATACCAAATTTACATCTATTTCAGGTACGTGGCAACTGTAAGGAAATCCAAACCTGAAAGATGTGAGCCGCTAAATCGACAGATGACGGTTCGGATTCTCAGACACGAATATCTCCCGTCTCTTCATCGACAAAAAACGGAAAAACTTCCACAGACACGTCTTCGAGATGAAATTAATTTGACGCTTGAAACTGTCCTTAAAGAGGACATCAAACCTTTGGAGTCAACAAAGAAACAGTTTCTTATATGCATGAATGCGCTTCATGGGAATTTGAAAACAAACCCGTTCAAACTTGAAATGAAAGAAAGTCCAATTTATTGTGGAGATATTCCACCATGGAAACCTTTAGATCCGACAATACCTTCGTATTTAGTGCCTTTAAAAGTCGGTAAAATGGAAGGGCGTCAACTTGAAGCGGGATATGCAGTGTTCCCGATGCCAAAGGAGAAAACAGAATTGAGTGTAAAGGTTTATAATTTAGAGCTCAGATCAGAAGATCGACTTCATCTTTGTCCTAGAAAAACTGTTATGTCGGTTTTTAAGGTATTTTCGTGGGCAATACAGAAATTAAATCGACACTATACTTCAATGACCTTTGAGACTTCCGCTACAGGACGAAATAGTGCGATGATGGACCTTGATTTAAAGCTCGAATTTAGAGACGACGTGCCACATTTACTCCTGATTTTACCAGAAGGTCAGCTTGTCGAAATTATCCCTGCAATAGCTGTGACAAAGCGCGGCCCATTTTACATTACACGTCCATTTGAAAATGATATTAATCCAAACTCGGATATGCGATGGCGGATAAATTACTCGATGAATGAGGAAGCCATTATGCGCGCCATTGCAACAGGAGATAAGCTACACAGATTAAATGCTGCTAAGCTGCTTGCCTACATTTGTAGGAAGGAATGGCAATTAAGATATATTACATCTTATCACATTAAAACGGTTCTTCTGCACGAGTCAGACTTTGAAATTGATTCCACTCCGCGTTGGCAAAGATTTTCCATGGATGATTGTTTAAAAACTTTAATTCGACGTCTTCAAGATTACGTTAGACGAAGAGAACTTCCACACTTTTTCGATGAAGATATTAACTTATTTGAGCATATTCCTCTCCGTGCATTCACATTTATGAGGAATGCTTTAGATAGATTACTTCGAGAGGATGAGGAATTAGCCAGAGTTGTTCAAAGAACACGACTTCCAAAAATTGTGTATTAATCATTATTTGTTAAACTATTTATTTATTTATTTCATTGCCAGTTTTAACTCTATTAAGGTAGATGCATTTTGTTTTATTGTTATCATCATTGCATTGGTTTTCAAGCAGAGCAGCCGATAAAAAATACATTATTATGCCATTTCAACAAACTTCCATCTAGGAAAGAACACATTTAGGAGACACGTTTTGAAATGTTATTTGCGATTGTTTTCTCCACAAAATTTTCATCTTTTTCTGAATATATTCACAATTTTCATTCAAAATATTGTGATGGCTTATAGAATTTGAATGAGACAACGAGACGAAAGAAATTGAAATTTAGATATACGGTATTATATACATGTGTATATATATATATAGGAAGAAATTAATTCTTGTAAAAATTTAAACAATATCACGAGAATACTACTCCAAATCTTTTTCATAGAGACATAGAGATTTATATGCTTTCCGAACGAGAAAAAAATACCTCATTGACTTCCATTTTTTTCTGCTTCGGGAAACTTTTCACATATTAAAAGTGTTTTCCGAATGGAAAGTTTCCCCGTGTGGAAGTGGATGTCAAGTGGTAGTTTGAACTTATAAATGTGCTATGGGTTAGTTATTGTGTTGTAGATGATTGGTATTAAGGTGATTATTGAGAATAAATCATTTATTATTTTTATTAAAAATAAAAAAGCTTGTTTTGAAATGTCCTTAATTTATTGCAGCATAGTATTACCAGAGCAATTCAGTATGTTCATGTTTAATACCATTTTTTCATTCATGAACGCAGTCCACTGATTTTTTTTTCTTCTGAAACATGAATACAACACACCCGATATTAAAGTTTGATGTAGTTATCTATTTTGTTTTTGTGGTCCCTTTATTTTCAAATCGACAAGAGGCAACTCTAAAATAAAATAAAAACACAAACAAACTAACAGGCCATCTCCTAAGGAGACAATAAAAGAAGATTTGTGCAAATTCTGAAAATATTAGCTTATTTCGACAAAAATGACTCCAAATTTATGCAAAAAGAAATATCATTACAGATCCAAACCAAACGTATTGGAAGTCAAATAAAAAATGTTTATTAATACTAAAAACAAATAATCCTAAACTGGTCATCTTCAATTTGCAACATTTTGGTTTGCACTAACATAAATTATAGCTGAGCATTTGGTCAAACTGTGTTACTTTTAACAAAGATCCTGTCAAAAATGACAGGAACATGACCAGCAGCTCCAAGGAGACAGTATCTTACGTTGACCATTTTAAGTAATGTGTGGTAACGAAATCCCTGACTTAATAATTTACCAGTAATACATAGATTACGCTCAATGAAATCTAATTACAGTGTTGAATTGGTAAGCTTTTAGAATAAGTGTCGTTAAAGGATTGATAAGTTTACCCGGATCGTATATAAATTTCCGGGCACGGTTAACAACATCGCCGTAAAATTTAGGATGTGCTATTCCGTCTGAAATAAGTCTTTTACAGGTACAGCCAAAAATTTGCAAACCAAATCTTAGTATCTATGGAAGAATTTAGTAAATGTTTTAAGTAAATTGTGGTAACGAAATCCCTGGCTTAATAATTTACCAGTAAAACATAGATTACGCTCATTGAAATCCAAAACGTCACTACAGATACGGACATAACGAACGAGTTGGGATATATAAACACCGTAAGATGGTGCCAGAGGAACACCACCGTCAAAAAAAGGAAAATTAACAATAGGGAAAGAAAAATCATCCCTTTTGTCATAAATTTTTGTGTAGAGTTTCTGGTGTAAAACTGAAATATCTAAATCTAGGAAAGGACACTTATTGCTATTAAAGGTTACTTCAGTTGGAAAAATAAAAAATCAAACCATATCATTTAAAAAAAAAAAAAGAAATATTCTTCCATTCTCGGGCAATGCAATTTCTAGATTCTACAATGAGATTTTATTCGCTTAAAACACCAGATAATGCTCCTCTATAGGTTTCTCAACCGGTAATATATCCAATGGATACCCACGTAGACAAGTGTGTTTGTTGTATCTTAAATAACCGGGTTTTTTTTATTCAAATATGTCATGAATAATTAAAAGTATCATGAACATGCATATCCGACTTTACGTTAGCATGTTAAAAATCAAACAACAACAAAAATGAATTCATTTTTTTCAAACATAAATCTCACCATAAAACATATATTTATAAATATTGTAACAAGTAAAATACATTAACTACATCCGGGTATATTACGTTTATGATCACATGCATTTAAAAGTGGATTCCATCCTGTCGTTTGAGGGCACTGCATTTCAAAGTTCTGTCCATTGGAACACTGTATGAACTTTGTACAGTCTGATGGATGTACCATATAAAGGGCGGTCCCTTGCTGACATGGATTAGAGCTGGTTACAAGTTGATGTTCTACAAGTATAAGTAATGCATTAAATTTTCTTTATATGAAATACATTTTGCATACACTTTTATACTTGTTACCTTTAGTGAGCACTTTTTTATACCAATTTAAAATGGAACTGTCATATAATTCATTTTCGCCTTCTTCTATGTACTCGTGTAGAATGGAAACGCCAAAACCCCGACATACAGATTTCTCGAAATATAGATCCCGACAAGCAAAGAGATGAAAGTTATGCTCAGCCTAAGTTTAACAGCCACCCTCCTACTTCAGTTGTGGTAATAGAAAATTAAAACATTATTCATACACGATTTAGAGATATGTGCAGTTCTTTAAATGCGGATCACCAATGCTAATCCCGCTTGCAGCTGTGACTATCCCGTTCAAGATTGTATGTATTATGTTGTCGAGTGTCCCTTCCAAAATAAAGCAAGAGACATTGTTTTATTATCAATAGAAAGATATGTCATATCGATCGAGCTGTGACGGAGACTTTATATCCGAGCAAGATGTTGAAATATTGGATTCTGTACAACTATTTATCAGAAAAACACAAAGATTCCGACCATCCGATCAACTTCTCACTTACTCCAGTTTGCAAATTTTTGTTGTCTTTTCTGTTTTCATATTGTATTGCACTTCTGTATTTTTTTGTGTTGGCATTAAATGCTAGATGCAAAAGGCTGACGCAAATATGATAAACAAATTCTTAAAATTTAAAAAAACCCACAAGTTTCAGATATCTGACAGACCAAATTGCACTGTGAACATCTGAAGGTTGTCATTTGATATATTATAATATCTTTTGATTTTCGAATTCAAGGGGTATATAACTGGATTTATAGAATTATCTCCCTTCTAAGGTAAAGTAAAAATATATAAGTGTTGATTAGAAAGTATTACTTTCAGATGATTTGATTTTAAAATTAAACTTTTGTGCTCAATTCGGCATATCTTAAATATTCTCATCATCAATTACCTTGATCATCCTGAATGATATCACTGCAAGACATTTTCTGACACGGGACCATAATAACACTTGATATCTTGCAATCATTCTCTGAACATCTTCTTGTTTTAACTCTATGTGTTGTGCCAATGTCACATGAAGCTGAACATTCTTCATCGTACCAGTCGGACCATGAAGTACAAATAATATCACAAGTTTCTGCACAAAGAAAGATAAATCGATTGGACTGAAGGTTTAAAAATTAACCAAACAAGATTACATGCGTTGTCGTGCTAAGCGTAGTATTATGAATACCAACCCGTAATTTAAAGTATCATAAAACTGGAAGTAGGTGTCTTAAGATCCGACAAGCTATTGACTAAATATGAAATTATTCTGTTTCTGTTTCGTTGGAGGAAAGTGTGACGAAAGTTTTAAATTCGTTCAATATATTGAAACATTTTAAGTATCGGCAAACAATAAGTAGGTGTCTGACAAATCCAAAGCATACTCACATAATACAATTCATCACTGTCAAGCTGCTGACCAAATATTTAGTCATTCTGTTTAGTATGTACCTGAGAAAATGGGGTGGGGGGATGTGTTTGATGAATGGACGGACAAGGTGAATTACTCTTATAATTTATCAATTTCAGTGTAAAGTTTTTTGACGGAAATTTACTATAATCCTAATCGGATTTAAGAACGCACCAAACGGGCCCCCTATTTTAAAGATAAAGATAGTTATATCTTAAGCATCAATGAACAAGACAACAATATACCTCAATGTAAAAGTCATTTCGATGTCAGAGTTTGCTAAAACCTTCAATTAAAAACTTTTAATACAAAATTAACATAAAATGAATGATTTCTCGACGAAGGCATTTTGTTATTGTATCATCTTTTAACTGGAATCATGATCCGACCTTTATTCATGTAAATTACTATATAAAAATAAGGTGATGTGGTATGATTGCATATCAATCAAAGTTCAAATAAAGTGGATATAAGCAATTATAAGCAACCGTACGACCTTCATCAATGAGAAAAACCCATACCGTATTGTTGGCTATAAAAGGCCCCGACATGAAAAATATGAAACAATTCAATTGAGAAAACTAACGGCCTAATTTATAACAAAACTATTTACGAAAAACAAATATGACAAACATCAACCAACGACAACCACTGAACTACATGCTCCTGACTTGGGACAGGCACATAAAGAATGTGGCTGAGTTAAACATGTTTGTGAGCGCTCAACCCACCCCTAACATGGGACAGTGGTGTAACAGCACAACATAAGAACAACTATAAAAATTAGTTGAAAATTCCTAACTCATCAGATAGATTCAAAGCAGAAAAACAACAAACAAAAACACAGACCAGACATGACAGGGTATTTATCCATCCCTCATCCCCTAACAACAACAAAACGAACACTAAGTACAGGTCTGAGAGTACTCTCAGTTACTGACAACTAGTTCAAAGCCAATAACAACTAATAAAAAAAATTATGTATCTAAGACTAAAATATCAATTAGTACACATCCAACATCCAATGGATTTAGTGTAAAGACGTCATTAACAGTCAGAAAAAAACATGACCTTGTGCAATGCCAAAATAAAGGTATCGACAGATTGTAGAACTGTTAAAGTGAATACGTGTATAACAATACTATTTAGTATGATTTTGATTTACTGATTAAAAAAATCAATATTTGTACCAAAAAATACAATATTCAAAGATCTAATTACAGTGTTGAATTGGTAAGCTTTTAGAATAAGTTTATTTAAAGGATTGATAAGTTTACCCGGATCGTTTATAAATTTCCGGGCACGGTAGACAACATCACCGTAAAATTTAGGATGTGCTATTCCGTCTGAAATAAGTCTTTTACAGGTACAGCCAAAATTTGCAAACCAAATCATTGTATCTATGGTTTTAAGTAAATTGTGGTAACGAAATCCCTGACTTAATAATTTACCAGTAATACATAGATTACGCTCATTGAAATTCAAAACGTCACTACAGACCCGGGCATAACGAACGAGTTGGGATATATAAATACCGTAAGATGGTGCCAAAGGAACATCACCGTCCAAAAAAGGAAAATTAACAATAGGGAAAGAAAAATCATCCCTTTTTTTCGTAAATTTTTGTGTAGTTTCTGGTGTAAAACTGAATTCTCTAAATCTAGGAAAGGACACTTATTTTAAAACTTTGCAAGTCATATTTTGTTACTTAAAGATCATTTACCGATACATGAATATTTTGAAGAAAAAAATCCCCCAAAAAATGAAAACATTAAATGCATAACACATATAATTTCATGAGCTATTGGTCAAAGTGACACTTTAAACAACCGACGAGAGAAATCGTATTGTTTATATGGAGGAATATAAAAAAAGATGCATGGAATTCATCCAATAAATTTTGCTCTAACTAAAATACACGCATTTATTTACATAAAAAGTATCAATTCGATTCACAAAAACAACAGTACCTGGACATGTTGTGTTGCGGCATTGTTTCGATATGGTTTCATAACCAGGACACACATCCTTATCGGCGTTGCATATTCTGGTTCTATTTTTTATAACAGTTCCAGAATCACATGAAGTTGAACATGAACTTTCCAGCCAATCACTCCAGTTACCGCAAATTACATCACAATCAATTTGTTCTATTAAAAATAATAATATAGAGGTTACAAATTAAATGTTTACTGTTTGAAGTTTCTAAATGTATCAGAAATTAGCTTGCTGCTTCAGGGTTTTTGACTTACATCCCATTTAGGATCGATGTTTAAATGGAGCTATCATAATTTGGTTGGTCGTTATGGTCTATCTGTTTCACAGATGACCAGGGATATGTCCAATTTTTCGTAGCTACAATTGTGTCCTCTTTTTATCGTCAATATTCAATGCAACGTATCACCATATTTGTTTGACATGAGCAACACGACGCCTACCTCTAGTGAAACAGCAACTGCTTAATAAAGTTCAACCTTTATTTTTTTAATGGGTTCGTGTTACCTTTCCTTAAGTTTTTTGTGTAGCTTTTTCCTTTAGTTTCATTTTATTTTTCAACGTATCTGCTATTTACACCACAGGGTCGATGCCACTGCTGGTGGACGTTTCGTCCCCGAGGGTATCACCAGCCCAGTAGTCAGCACTTCGGTGTTTGCATGAATATCAATTATATGGTCATTTTTATAAATTTCCTGTTTACAAAATTTATTTTTCGAATTACTAAGAAGTTTCTTATCCCAGGCATAGATTACCTTAGCCGTATTTGGCATAACTTTTTGGAATTTTGGGTCCTCAATGCTCTTCAACTTTGTACTTCTTTGGTTTTATAACTATTTTGATCTGAGAGTCACTAATGAGTCTTAAGTAGACGAAACGCGCGTCTGGCGTATTAAATTATAAGCCTGATACCTTTGATAACTATTTACACCACTGGGTCGATGCCACTGCTGGTGGACGTTTCGTTTCCGAGGGTATCACCAGTCCAGTAGTCAGCACTTCGGTGTTGGCAATGAATATCAATTATATGGTCATTTTTATAAATTTCCTGTTTACAAAATTATGAATGTTTCGAATAACTAAGGAGTTTCTTATCCCAGGCATAGATTACCTTAGCCGTATTTGGCATAACTTTTCGGAATTTTGGGTCCTCAATGATCTTCAACTTTGTACCTCTTTGGCTTTATAACTATTTTGATCTGAGCGTCACTGATGAGTCTTATGTAGACGAAACGCGCGTCTGTCGTATTAAATTATAAGCCTGGTACCTTTGATAACTATTATTTCATTCATATGTAGAGACAATCTTTATTATTTCTGTACTATCGCATTCGGTCACATACTGGTTTTAGAATTTACAAGAACGGATGGTTTATAAATTTTGTTAAGTCCTAGGGTTTCACGACCGAACTTTCACAAAAATGTACCACATGCTTATGTTAAATGCGTTATTCACATCCGATATAACCGCCAACATGTTTAACAGGATTAACTCGGTGGGTGTGACTAGTTGTATTTTAGACACTTCCGGAGGACATGAATTGTTTGTCTTATTGTCTTTATTTATATTATGATCATGGTGAAGACAGTCTTTCTTCAACTGATGCTAGTTTATTGCCTCCTTTAAATCATCCTACTATTTTATCAACTATCGCATTCACTTTAGCTTTTCAATCGTGCCCGAGTCGACTTAATTTTATATAACTTCTAAACAAATGCAGTTAGTGTATTGTATATAAAACGGTAATAATACATGTATATAATATGGTTTATCATACAGTATCTTTAACTTAAATGTACAGGTGTTTATTTTAAATCCTTGTTTACCTGAACATTGTAGTTCTGTACAATTTTCAGCTTTCGTTTCTTCATTTGTACAAATAGAAAGATTACATGTCCTATTACTTGTCGTGAGTTTGGTACCATTACCACATGTAACTGAACAGCTTCCATCCCCCCATTTTGACCATGCTGAACATTCATCTGTACACAGATCTTAAAGTGCAAGACAATATAAAATAGTTTGTTACTCAAGAAAAAGCGAAGTTAAGTATACGGCAAAGAGAATGCATCTTTAATACACTTTAAAAACACATCAAAGATACCAAGCTTATGATTTTGTACTCCAGACGAGTTGTATCTTCATAAATCTCATACGTGGCACTCAAATCAAGATAGTTGAAAGGTCAAATAAATATTGAAGACATTGAAGAAATTTGAAATCCTAATATTCCGATAAGGCAGTTAATTACTTGAGTCGCAAAACCATAGAGTTTCAAGTGTATTTACCATTATATGCACAGTCAATCTACAAGTACATACATTTACAGAATTAAACTAGTTATTTGAGTACTCAACATTCCCCTTTTCATATTTAATTTACATTTTCAGCAGAACAATGATTGATTGACTGTCGCTTTCTTGACATCCAGTGACAAATATTTCATTCATATTCTGAACGAGAACAAATGAAGTTTATTAATACAAAAGACAGGTTCTGCAAGGTGAGTCGGCCGGAAAACAGCTAGAAAATGCGAGTATTTTGGATAAGCAGACATTTTGCCGTGCAACAGGCTAGTAAAATTCAGTTCAGTATTTCACTGCATGTACCTTTTTAAAAAGATTGTCATAAATAATCACCAGTCAGAAATACTGTCAACAGTTAAAATATATTAGATCACTGCTCTCTTCTTACATGATTACATCCGTTGGAAATCTTCGAATCTGACATAAATATTTTGGAGTGAACTCAATAAACAATTATCTGCTATAGCCATCGCGGGATTATGCAGAGTATGAAAGTTTATATCAGAAAATACACATGTATAATATTTATGTTTCAAAATTTTACTTACCTGGACAGGAACTTAACGTACAACTATCCAACTGCTGACCGACTACTTCACAATCATCCTGGGAACAAAGTCTCCTCCTTGTTTTAGCTTGAGTCCCAACGCCACAGGAAGCTGAACATTCGCCCATTAATGACCATGTTGACCATTTCGAACATATCAAATCACATTTTTCTGTAATTGAGTAAAACTATTACAAATATGCAAAAAAGTAACCTCGTTGGTAGTTGTGTTAATCAGGTTATCTCTAATGTGTTTTCATTTGGATAATTTTACATCTTATTGTTTGTTATTTAAAGAATTTCGTTTTGTTGGCAGATCTTTGATAGTCTCTATTTAAATTATTCACAATGTTTAAATGCATGACATATATCATAAAGACATCTGTCTGTTGTTAAAGACAGCATGTTGACCTTCAATTGTCTTTGGTTACTTGTGTCGTTTGACCTTCAATTGTCTTTGGTTGCTTTTGTCGTTTGAACTTCGATTGTCTTTAGTTACTTATGTCGTTTGACCTTCGATTGTCTTTGGTTACAAATGTACTTGTGTCGTTTGACCTTCAATTTTCTTTGGTTGCTTGTGTCGTTAGAACTTCGATTGTCTTTGGTTACTTGTGTTGTTTGAACTTCGATTGTCTTTGGTTACTTGTGTTGTTCGGTTGCTATCTAATAGACATGTGTCCAAATTCTCTGGCTTTATTCATATAAAATGATATTCCTTATTGGTAATTTAAATTAATTAATAAGGTTTACTGTTAAGGCATACATAACATGTTTTAACTTCGTATGATTAAGAAGCAATTAACTGGGAAATGCATTGAAACAAAAACAGATGAAATCAACAATTGATTAGGATATACAAATTTAGTTCTATTCAAAATGAAGATGTTGGTAATATTTATATCAAAGGGCCTCTAGCAAGTAAAAATATATCTACGAATTTGTGTAGTTTTATCATACTCCAGATTCTGCTCTTCATGCCAAAAAGTTTGTTTAGGTTTTTAAATTAATATGTATGTTAATCTGACAATAAACTGTTATTGAATAGTTGTTTTGCTTTTGTAAGTACCTAAGTACTAATGAAAAACCGCTTAAATTGAAGACTTTCAGTTTTGCCTTGTATTTATTTGTCCATTATATGCCTAACATACGTTACAAAAAAAATAACAATCGTTAACACAGAAGTCTGAGGTTACATAAAGAGAGAGAAGATACAAAAAATAAAACAAAAATACCGAACTCCAAGGTAAATTCAAAAAGGGGAAAGTCCATAAAAACTGACAATCAAGCACATCAAGCCGAAGAAAAGAAACAACACAAGGACTGAATGAATAAGACAAACAGGCAAGCATCAGTGAAATTTGAGACAAAAGTCTACATGCCCCACTTGCATTATATTTGCATAGTTAGAGTAACATGAAATCGGAGTCATTTTTGGCACATGATTTTAAAAGTTTACATAATGATTAATATGTGAATTAGTTTTTGTGACCACAATTTCATGGTAAACTACCTTAACCAAAAAACTTTTACCAAATACCGGACGAACGAACGGATGGACGGCACAGACCGAACAAATATTATCCGTCATTACTACCGAAAATGGGGCTTAAAACACAAAACAAAAATTTGAAGTTTGAGCAATATGAACCCCTCCAAAAAGTGGAGTCGAGATTCAATTTATAATTAAAGGAACTTCAAAATGTAAATTTTACCGTCACAACTTTGTGTATTGCAAAGAGAGGTTGTAGTTTCTGTGGGTTGACATTCAGGATGATCACATTGTCTAACTCTCGTCCAGATTAAAGTTCCACCACCACACATGACAGAACAGTCGAAACTCCTCCAGCCAGTCCAGAGAGAGCAATACTTGTTGCAAGTTGCTGAAAATGAAAATCATTAATTTAAGTATAGATGAATGAATAAGGTTGTGCAAGCTGTAAATCAACAACTTAAGTCAAAATATATATCGGCATAAATTTCATAATACGTCAATTTAAGTCTAGACGTTTCTATTTTGAACTGCGATTTTTTTATTTTTTAATTTCAACATAATCGATCATTCTCTTTCTTTTATGCTTTAAATAGTTTTCATGTAACAACAAGGTCGAGAATACTAAGAATTACTCTTTAATAATTGCTTATTGGAGACAAAAACAAATAATCCATACTTTATTTTAGTATCTGATGTATCTCGCATATATTTAATGCTTTTGTAAGTTAACGTTAGTAACGTTTTAATATTCTGGTAAATTAGTAATTCAAAACTCACAAGTCGAAGAGATACTGATTAACCCAATTAAATATGTAAAGTTTTCTACAAATTAAGTAAGATCATTCATTGCCCGTCAAATAGCTTTATGAACAGACCAACAACAAATCAGACAATCAAATAAAGCATATGAAAATAATAAAAAGCAAAAAACAAAACAATAAAAAGTAAGAAAGAAAACAAGAAAGAAAAATATAATTTACTCCTTTGTCTTGAGAATAACTGAAAAAGTATCATGAACTTTGGATATACGATAAAACTTTGGAAGAAATAAAAGACAAAAATTAAATCCGAACTAAATTAATATACTAAGAACTCGGATCAAACTATGGACACCTTGCTCTGTATAAAAGTTCATTTCAGAAAGTTTGAACCGTATACACATGTTCAACAACACCATTTATTGAGGAAAATCCCCGTGTACAATCGGGAATATTATTAGTTACATAGTGTGTTAGTGACCTAATACGATATATACGGGGTCAGTAAATTCCATATGGGGTGAGAGCGAATACGATATATACGGGGTCAGTAAATTCCATATGGAGTGAGAGTGAAGCTCGAATCCCATATGGAATTTACTGACCCCGTATATATCGTATTAGGTCACTAGCACACTATGTAACGAATTTATCTTACCGACTATCTTTATTTGTTGAATTTAGACTAGAGTTGTCTCATTTGCAATCATACCACATCCTCTTATGTTTATATTTAAGTGTTCAAGTGTTCAATTTTAAGAACCTTCTTCCATTGGTCTGCACAAATCAAAATTAATGTCAACAATAACAATTTAATATCAACAACCTTGATATAACAATATTAAACATCACTTTCAATACATTCAAATAAGCAAATAGTGCCAAAGTCATAACTCCACTACTAACTGTGTATTGAAATAAGCCCCGCCTCCCTACTAACCTAATATGAAATATACACGGTCTCCATGCGGTCGCTTTTAACCAATCATATTCCTAGAAATGTATAGGAGGTAAAATAAAACTGTTTATGGTTGTATAATCCCTCGAAAGTAGATACAAAATTTTGAGTTTAACAGTCGGTTTACAGCTATTCATTTAATTATTTTGCTACACTTCCCTTTTATGCTAGACCTTTGTACGTTTTATTTTACTTAGGCTTATTTGTTATTTTCCTTCTTCATCTTATTTACATGTATATCTTTATAACAAATAATATGCATTTAGTCCATACTCTTTAATTACACGAGACTTCTATATCCCCATTGTTATTAGAATGTCTGTTGTTTTAACATACCAGGACAAGGCTTTTGGTTTAAACATGGCAAAGATTTTTTCTCCATGCTTTGACAATCATCATAGATGCATGTCCTATTTCTATGTTGTATTAATGATCCCTCGTCACAAGTTTGGCTACATCGGCCATGATACCAGTCTGACCATGCACTGCATGTTGAGTCGCATGTTTCTATAAATATATGAAATTTTCAAATCTTATTAAATTTGACCTCACATATACACAAATTTGATTATGGTACATCATATATTATATTGAATTATTCAAATCTATTCCCCGCGATATATCCTTTGTGTGCTGATGCGGCGTAAAGCATTCATCAATCAATCAAACCTATTCCCCAACAAAATTAATGTGTTTGTTACAAGTCTAGTATTATTCCTCTTTCTGATGAAAAAAAATGGTTCAAAGTTAAATACATAATTTAAACAGCAAGCCATTAATTCCTTTGAATTCTTGTACTTTTATTTATAGGTTTTTTTTATTAACATTTATTAAAGTTACAGTCAAAGGCTTTACGGTGATCTTATTGTCGTGCTCTTTAGTTTATGATTGCGAATTTTTTCATATACATGTAGCAAATACAGCTCTAATATACCTTCACATGTTTTACGTTTACAGATTTCCTCATATGAATCTTCCGCCTTGCATTCTGGTATGTTACATGTCCTATTTCTTGTTCGAATTTGTTTGCCAACATCACATGACTCCGAACAGTCGCCGTCTAACCAGTTACTCCAAACAGAACACGCAATAGTATCGTTACATTCTACAATACAATTTTCAAGTATATGACTATGATCAGATACTATAGCAAAATGTAGATTAATTGCTTGAAGCTATTCAGGTCACAAAAACCAGAATAATAAACTGACTGGAAGAATTTTACAATTGTACATGTATTTACGACCTGTTTGTTGTTCAAAAAGTTTCAAATGAATTCGAGCATAACAATTTGAAACAAATGGTGTTCTTAATGACGATTTTTTTGTCTTCAAACAAAACAAACAAAAAAATAGGAAAATAAAACAATTGGTTTTTGGTGAGGAGGAAAAACCTTACCAGTGCCAAAACAAGTTACCATTTTCTCTTAGTAAACTGAAAACAAATCATAGTTAAAAAATTGAAAACAACACGTTTAATAATTTTATGCGTCTGAAGCGCTTTTCTGGATTTACCTTCATCAAGAACGCTCAAAGCCAAACATTTGAAATCCGAGGATGTATAAGTACCGAAACAGTTAAGTAGTTAAGTGATTGTTTCTGTAATTCTCATATTTTTTTTAAAAAACATTTAAATTATGTCATTGGCGTTTAATTTTTTCACTCACCAATACATATGAAATTATTACATGTTGCGGAATAAATATCTTCTTCGAGACAATCTGGAAATGTACACTTTCTTGTTCGTTGTCGAATTCTAGTTCCACCATTACAAGACTTCGAACAAGGTAACCATGTCCATGTTCCCCATTGTGTACATGTTGAACCACAAGTTTCTATAATGAAAGACAAAATTTAGAATAGAATACTAATTCATTGTTTAAGATGAAAATGTAATCAAAATAATTTCAAATGAAGTCGTAAATAAAGGCAACAGTAGTATACCGGTGTTCAAAAGTCATAAATCGATTGAGAGAAAACAAATCCGGGTTACAAACTAAAACCGAGGGAAACACATCAACTATAAGTGGAAAACAAAGGAACAACAGGAACACTGAAGTGCAACAAAAACAAACGCCAACATACATGGAAACGAACTATTTGATAACAACTGCCATATTCCTGACTTGGTACAGGACATTTAAAGAAAAAAATGGTGGGTTGAACCTGGTTTTATGGCTAGCCAAACCTCCCACTTTTATGACAATGTTAAAATATATCGCTAAAAGATGTTTAATGTGTGAATTATATTGTAAATTCAAAATATTTTGCGATGTGTTTATTTTTCAGGAATATGTTTCGCAAAAATAAAAACTCGTAGCATTATTTGTATGCAGCATTTCTTAAAATCGTAATATTTAATGGAGCATTTTTGACCATTGTTCAGTAATCGCAATAATAAATGCTCGTAAACATTTCTGAATTTACAGTAGTTGTCCTCCTTCTAAATATTGAAGTAGTTGCTCCTTACTAGAAAAAAAATTAATAATAAATGGGAAGTAAATATTCATACCTGTACATGTACGTGTTTTGCATTCACCTATGCTGTCTTCTGTATCATTACAAGACGGAAGAGCACATATCCGCATCCGTCTTTGTTTTGCGGTACCATAGTCGCATGTTGCGGAACAAGTCAATCCTCTCCAAGACGACCATGGTGTGCAAGCATCATTACAACCTAAGGAACCAAATACATACAAACAATGCTAAAAAATATATTCGCTACTTCGTTTCAAAATTACAGACTTTTTAAAAAGTTAATATAAATTAATAGTATATAAATAACAGATCTAAAAAAATAAAACAGAAAAAATGAGGGGTCCGTGTCCTTGTTATTGAGATATAAGCCATTGAAAATTTGGCAGGAGATGAATCTCTCTACATTTCTCCTACTTTTAACATTGATACCTTTTTTCTTACAAAAACAATGAATAACAAGAATTTTATAAGATTTTGAAAATAGCTTTTCAAACTATGACCATGTGAGAGAAAACGAACGATTCGGACGCACCAGATTTATAAAGTGTTATTAACATTCCTGAGTTACTAAGCGTAAACCGATAGATACATTTGTTAACAGTTTTTGTAGTGTTATTATTGAATCACCTTAGTCATAGAGTTTGGACCTAAAAGTATGGAAAGACAAGATAAGCACTTTGAAAATGTTGTATTGATGGCAGATTTTTCATAGGTTCTATTTAATCTATTTCACATCATTTTTAGTCTTCGATTGATTTAGAGCTCAACATAAAAAGTAAAATAACAAAAATACCGAACTACAAGGAAAATTCAAAACGGAAAGTTCCTTATCAAATGGCAAAATCAAAAGCTCAAACACATCAAACGAATGGAAAACAATGGAATAAATTATATTATAGACACCTATTGTTGAAGCCTATCTGATGACCTATAGAAGTATTTTGGTTGTTTGTGTTTTAGCTTGCTGTCGCATTGGCGTATACCATATATCTCCTTTTGTTGATGTAACAAGTATTATTTTAGGGATTATTCAATAGACTTTGTTACTTATCAAAAGGCACAACTCGCATATTGATGTATTATAATTTATTCAAAAGTTGAAATTTTCACACACAAAAAAAAACCACCTAGTAAATGTCTATAATAGTCATCTAAAATGCTGAGTAGAAAAACTTTACCACTGAACATTTGCAGTTTCTGATAATAAAATAATTGAAAGATAACCGTGTCCAACTGAACTACTTCAGATCGACATAATGATTAAGAATTCTTCTTAGAAATTCTGACACGGTCAACAATTTTCACTTCATGAAATTATTAATAAATATGTATTCATTTACACTATTTAACAGTGTTAATACATGTGTAGAAAACCGTGCAATTTGACAAAAACAGCAACATTTGTATATAAAGATATAAATGATCCATTAAACAAAGTAAGCAACAAACAAACACAATTATGATCTACAACACTGTGAATTATACTCACAAAATAGTCTACAATTCATATTTTCCGATTACGTCTGTACATGTAGTGTTTAAATTTTTGGAAAATTAGATGTGTCAATGGTGAAGTTACATCGTAAAGTGCGTACCCCTTATCCGTTATCTTTCGTCAATCTTATTTGTTCTAGATTGTTCTCGAGGCTTGTGAGGGTGTGTACGTGAATGAGGAAGGCTGTCTTATTTACGTATACCATACACTTTCTTTTGTTAACAGTAATTAAATTGAGTTAAGAAGTCATGAACTTGTTTGTCCCATTTACGCATATCGCACATTTCTTTTAATCATTATACGTCTATTTGGTGTTCTTTTTGCAAAACCAATTCACAGTTGAATTACATCTACACATCAACAATTCTCGATATGTAGTTATGGAAAACATACTTACAGACACCAAGATTACAATGAGATGATGCATACTCTATTGATGCTCCTAAACACTGCAGTTTTGGTGAACATTCTCTCGTCCTGTTCCGTCTTTGTTCACCATTACCACAAATTGAAGAACATGGACCAAAATCAGACCATTGTGACCATGAATCACATGAGCATCCAACACATGGTTGTGTATTACATGGTTTACTCGCTTGGTCTTTTTCAATACAACCAATTGACCCCTGACATTGCCTCGTTCTGGTCGCAGTAAGTGTACCTCCACCACACATTAGTGTACATTTTCCTTCATTCCAACCACTCCAAGAAGAACATATTTTTTCGCATCCTGTAAATTTAAATATTGTTTCAATATTTCAACACATTCAATATCAATTGTTCTTAACTTTTTTCATTGAAATGCTTTGATGACGGCATGTACCAAATTTCACATTGAAGTTATAAAGGAGTCACAAAAATATTAGAAATTAAATATTTATCGACAGTAGGTAAACGGTGTTTACTCAGTTCCTTCAAAAAGTTTTTGCTTAATTTGCAAAAATGATAAAAAAAAGTTTACACTAATGAAAATGATAACTTGCATGTGTATGGTGACTTCATTTCAGGTATTACACCACTGCAATGTGTCAAAACATTAAAAGGAATTAATACAATATTATCATGATTTTTTTGACACATGGTTCAGAATGAAGTTTTGTTAAGGTTTATGACCCCTTCTGTAGCCATGTGAATTACGAATTTTCAAACTGCAATAGTATCAAAACAGCAAAGATACTGAATATTAGAGAAGAGCCATTTTGTACATATACAAAGGGGAAACTTCGTGCAATGCATTATTATTTTGCATTAAATAGAAAAAGGGGATTTTGTGGCAAATAAAACCAAGATTTTTGTAGAAAATCCACAGACTTTAATACAGAGATTTTTATTATAAAATTTTAAACATAGATTACTCACTTGTTTTTCTATGATGTGCTAGCGTTTATTGTTTACAAAAAGTCCAAAACAACCTTTAAATTCCAAAAAACCTCGTGCTGAGTCACTAAAGTCGAGTGCACCCTAGAAGGTGTACTTGAATTGGTCCATATTTATATTTGTTTAACCAATATCAAAATTTATAAACTTGTTTTTACGGAAATCATTTCTAGCACTGCATGCAATAATCTTTTATCTATCAAGCACCAAATTGTCAAATATGAGAGTACAAGGGGAAAGGCTATGGATTTTCTATAAAATTTCCATATGTTAAGCATTAAATCAACACAAGGGTACATAATCCTTAATTCGATAGAATTGCCAATACCACCAACAACACAATTAATCACTGAAGAACAAGCATGTTACAACTACAGAGTAGAGAGTACAACCTTCATCAATTGGCAAACTCCATTTCGTACAGTAAGTTATAGAAGCCCGTGGTGACAAAATTGAAATAGTATTAAGCTAATTACATGAAACGTAAAAAATAAATAGAACAACAGACAGTAACCAACGACAGCCAATAGACTCCTGGCTTGGGATTGGAACATACATACGGAATGTGGAGGAGTATGAAATTGATCAACCCTGTAGCTGTCCTAAAACAGTTTTGCAACAGCACAAAATTAAAACATACAGTAAAAATACGTTGACAAAGACTTGATTCATCGGATACTGTGGTATTTTTAACAAATTGCATAATGACACAAATTTCCGATCAAAAAGCAGTCACATTTGCGAAAAGCTATTTCAAAGCCCAATTTAAAATCTACCATGTTTAACAAGACTAAAGACTGTTTTTTTTTTCACCGAGAATTGATATAATTTATCTGTGGTAATGTAATAAATTGCATTTAAAAAATTGCTCTATTCATTAGTTTCAGACTGTCGTGTGCTATAGAAAAAAACAAGAAAAATGTAAATATTCAACAAAAGTCTAAAATGCACAATCTTTATTTACAATTTTTCATTCTTTATTATATATTTAATTCAAAAGCTTTATTGAATAGGAGGAAATGACCTGTTATAACAGTAAAGGTGTAAATCATGACAGGCCCGAGGAATCCAACAAAGAAATGCATCAGATTATATCAAAATATCTACAAGGCGATTTTATTTTGTAAGGTTTTAAAGTAAAAATTAATTAATCGGTGCAGTTGACGTCATTTCTGCTTAAAAAGATACATATCATTAATGAACATCTGTTGTTACTGTTTTGATACTTGTTTACTATCTGTTTATTTACTTCGCATAATAGTTACATATCAATAACAACCAGTTTACATTAAAAGTAATGCGATTTCTTTTATTTTGTCATTCTGTGTTGGTTACAAGTTTATCGTTCCTGTTAGATACTATTTGTTTTTAGTTGGGGAAAAATAATACCTAGTGCTGTGCACACTTCTATTATAAGTTCGAATTGTTCATGTTTATCCCCGTATTTTTATTTCATTTTTGGGGTGACAAAACATGAAAAATGATCTGTTAATTAAACTCAAACATATAAAATTAAAATTATGTATTGTACATACTTGTATTATGTACAGTGTATGTGAGTAAATTGATTTGCAAATCGGCGAAGTTACAAGACTCGGCCACATATGCAAATATACGACCGTTTAAAGTAATATTTAAAAAAGTAACCAAACTTTGCGAGCAAGGAAGAAAGACAGCCATATTTGTTCCGAATCACATTTTTTTTCACAGGGTCATTTTCCAAGAAATACTTGAGCTGTTGCTTTCAGTTTTGCTACAGTGCTGTATATGAATTTTGAACAACCTGGTTGGTATTGCATTATACATACTAGGAGACGTTACCATGACATCGTACATGTACCTAGCCTTGTTTCATTTGCATTTCTTTTGATTCCGAATATTGTATTTCCGATGGTTGTGAATTTTGAATCGTATGCTTAGATTTACGTACATATAATTCTGACCATGTAAGAATAGTGTTTGTATTCTAGAAGACAGATTAGTAAAAACAACTATGTTTTTTTCTGAATCCTATTTAGTACATGGAATTATATTACTATAAAAATAAGAAGATGTGGTAGACTATAGGTCAACATATTGCAAATTTATGTTTTCAAATAAATATTGTTTACGTTGAATGTTGAATGTTTAAACTGAAATTTGTACATTATGATCATATTTCAAGTGCGCAGTATGCCCTGAATAGAAGTCAATTGCAACTAAAGTACCAGTAATTATTTCGACTTAAATTGACACTTTACTAATGAAGTTATCAAATATAGAGATTTTATCATGAAAGCAGGAAAGCCTCACAGCCTTACAACATCTGCTACAATGATCTTTATGCTCTCACCTCGTACAGGACCAGCGGCAAACATGTTAAGTAACGATGTAATGTATATTTAATTACCGCAGAATTTCATTCATCTTACCTTTTCAAACGTCTTGTACAATAGTTGATGTAAGGAACAAAAAGATTATGAAACAAGATGCAACATTTACCTTGTAAAATAACACTATAGGCGACACTATACTGTACTACATAATGTAACAACAAGTCATAAGACACTTTCTATCTATTTTTACTTGTGTGGCCTAGATAAGCGACAGTAATGTATATTCATTATTTATTTTTGTTTGTTTTGTTTATTTTTATTAACTTTTAGTTTTGGTAAATTAAATTCCAATACCTTTGGAAATACACAAAATTGACAATCGTCGATTCTTGATAATTTGGTGTAGTTTTAAGTACATTGTTAATTGCTCATTGAACAATAAAAAAGAAAGGATATAGGGTATCCATCCATGACACAAAATCAGTATATGCACAGCAAAGGAACAGCGATTTTATTGCTGTTATTCATCTCACAATCACCGTGTGGTCTTTAACATGGAGCAATAAAACACTTACTGCAAGTTTAAGACGGTCCCTAGTACCGGTTTGAGTGGAATTCTTTTTTTTTAATTTTATAGTGGTGTAAAAGCGTTGACCGAAGTACATTTTGTATGAAGGTCGGAAGCGCCTCCTTTTAAAAATGTACGCACGATCAACGCTTTAACAACCCTATGAAATTATAAAAAGAAGCATTCAATTCTCACAATTACATTTGTATGTTATAACCATGAAATTAAGGGTTATATCGATCTTTTTGTTTATTTGTCTATGCATTGTTTTAACATTGTCACGGATAGCACGTGTTGTCATAGCTGTTGTATTTTATATAAAAATATATGGAAGTGCCTGGTGATTGTTGTCAGCCAATCAAAATTACGGATTCTAATGAAACATACATGTAATGTAATTATATACTAGAGTTAGTGCGCGACAAAAATTCTCATTTTTCGAAGATTTAAATGCTATAACTTTGGGACGACAAAAGTAAAAACTGTCAAAAAGCATACAGACCCTCGGACTACAATTCCCAATGATTTAGTAAAATTTGAAGTAAATCGCTCACGCTCAATATATATTTTTTCTATACTGGAGGTAATGCATAACATGTTTACGCCAACGAACGGACGTACGGACAACATTATACATTTATTTTTTACTATTATGTATCAGTTGATGACGGGTACATACAAATCTAAATTGTTTAATAAACCCATTTATCAAAATTTTGACAGAACATATGTAAAATAGAAGAAAACAGAATTCAATAAAAAAAAACATACATAATTGTCCGTTGGTAAACTACGAAAAAACATTTAATTGACTTTTGCTACTTTTTCCTTCTGTCATGAAAATTTTTAAAAGTGACGAACCTCCTCTGGTTTCTAACATAAATTTTATTTTCACAAATCAGTATGATAACTTATTCCAGCAGAATGGCGTAAGATGAGGGTAGGAATGGACTTTACCGTCAGGCGTCAAACGGTCATTTTCGGCTACTGTTAGCGTCAAATAAGTTAAAATTTTATCGTGATTTGTCAAAATATCCTTATCGTGATTCGTCAGAGGTCTCAAATAATTATCCGTTACCGTTATTGTTGGAAAGGATTTAACGTCATTCGTCAAAATCAATGGATTTTTTTTTATCGTCATAAAGAAAATGTACATTTTATCGTCACGCACCAAAAATTACCGTTAATGTCATTTGGCAAGATTTTTTACCGTTATGCGTCATGGAGGTACCCCCATTACGACCCTCTAAGATTTAGCAACAATTACGAGTCGACGTAGAAATAAATTAGGTACGTAAAATATAGTCTAACTGAGGGGAGAAAAAAACGACCGAATGAACTCTGAGACTTTTGTCATAAATCATATATGAATTGTACTATATGTTGTTTAGTCTTTAGTTTTATATGTTGTGGTTTGTAGACTTGTTTGTCTTTTTATCGTTTTCAGTTTTTTGCCATGGTATTGTCAGTTTGTCTTCGACTTATAAGTTTGAATACCCTTTGGTATCGTTCACCTCTCTCTCCCTACCTGTTTTTTCCACCGATCTCCCCATCTTTCATTAGCAATACTTAAGAAACAGGTTGGTTGGCGTCAATAATATTTACTGACAGAAGTAATTTTAAATGATTTGCATTGTTAAGATACATTTATTTGAAAAAAATTATACATAAGGGTATAGAAAAAACAGATGAGTTCTGTGGTATTTTTACTAGACTTAGTCTGTTTAACTGAACTGCGGTAGAGCAAACGTCTATTTTCTGGCACATTATGATAACTAACTATAGTTAAGTCTTTATTAAAAATTATTAGAGTGCACATTTTGCATACATGAATTGTTATTAGACTTAGAAAGTAAAAAGATCGGTGTATGTATACCTCTAAGATGCATTGTATAAGCAGTACACAAAACCAAATGGGGTGTCTATTTCTACAAATCACTGCTAATATGTTAAGGTCTTTAATTCTGTGACACTAACTCATTATTCCAGATTTGTCCTTTTTTTTTGGTAAAATCAAACTAGTTTGAGTACTACAAGTATGTAGTTACGTGTAGCAGTAACTCATATTATCACCGCTTGTTCTCAATTAACCCCATGTTATGAAAGGACAACATATTTTTCCTATCATACTTACCACATTCTTGAGTATTACAGACTTGATATTGTGTAGCCTTTTTAATGCAGATGGTGGCATGTGTTGTGTCTGTATCGTCATCGTCACATTTTCTGACCCGATTCCTTGATTTTACACCACCCCCACAATGAGCAGAGCATGGTGTGTATTCTGACCACTCTTCCCACTCTGAACACATGCAGTTGTTTGATCTATATTGAAGTAAAAACATATGTAACTTTCGGGTAAGCCAAATTTGGCGCAAGTTTTTAAGAATTGTGTAATTATTGACGAGGGCCTCCAATTGTGTTAATTCGAGTGGCACCTATGTATACGTTACGCTCGTCTGACGTACGCAATTAAAAGTCTGGTACCATCGATGATTCTTCATTAAACCAATTCAGGAAATGGAAATTAACTCATCGTTTAGTTTTATAGTGGACTTTGAACATCCGTTACTTAATCCTTTCAGTATAAATTGTTAAAGATTGATGCTTCCGACTTATAAAGCTTATAAACACCGAAACTGCATGGAAAAAGGTTTCATTTAAATTAAAAAATAACAAGAGACATGGTGCATTATTCCATTACATAAAATCCCACCATGCTCTTGACAAGAAAAGCAAAAGAACATCGCTTTTACACGTTGATGTTTTTTCCGCTGTTTAAAGGTTCATTTCTTCAAACGAAACGCTTCTTTTTCAGAAGTAAATAGTTATTGAAGTTGATGTCGATCTTCCGTCTTCGTGCTGGATGTCTAGATTACACAGAATCCTTATTGAGCGAAATATGGCAGAGGTTAATATACTCTACCCTTTCCAAACATTCCTCAAATTATTTTGGGAGAGCCAAAGATGGCCATTATAGATATTGTGAAAAGCTACCTGCGGTGTTAATCAAAATTTGATAATCTTCAATCACAGCCATTAACATTTCAAAAAGTATAATAATGTTCGACATTTCTGCCTTTCCACTACTATTCCTTATTTTAGATTGAACGGTCTTTCTCGTCTTTTCATTAAACAGTTTCTTCCTAAAGTTGCTTACATCTGCGTCATTTGGTCTCTGGTGGATAGCTGTCTAATTGGCAATCATACTACGTGATTTTTTACGATCATGAGGTATTTTTATGCTGAAAATATTTGTTTTTTGGCATGTCGCTTATTGTCGCTCTTTGATTATTATTTTAATTGTCTCCTTGGTATCGCCTTCTGTGTTTTTTTTTATATGTGTTTGTGGTGTTAAAATCACTAATATATACAAATATATATTATAACCTATAGTTGTTAACTTATACGTCAATTGGTCTCAGGTGGAGAGTTGTCTCATTTGCAATCATACCGCATCTTCTTATTTTTATTATACATATGTGTGTTACATCTGGAATGTGTGCTGTATACTTACTCCTGCGAAGTCAGACAATCACTTGGTTTGAAGAATAAAATCACAATTAGCAAATTATTTCCAAAAATTAGCATCGTTCATTGGTGCCAATACATATTTAATTACTCCTCTAGCACAAATTAATAAACCATCGGGATTCATTTTTTGTTAATTTGATAAGTGCATTTCTCAAATAGTGTAAAGTTTTCCGTTTCACTCCTAATATAGACAAATCATGTGCCTTTTTTAATAGTTGAAGTAAAGTTTGCTTCGCATGGAAGATTTATCTAACTTAAAATCTAAATGTGTCATCTCTTATTCATTCATGATGGTTTTTGTCTGCAGGAGGATTGGATGAAAGTAAAACTTTATTTGTAGTTAATTACACATTCAAAACTGTTTACAGAGACATTATGTTTATTTTATATAGCGTTCGGTCCAAATTGTACCCGTGTTTTAATTTGCTTGCTTCAGGGGATTTATTATTTTTCATCGAAAGTTTTATTTTGTATGAAATATTTATAGGTTCGTTAAATATCAATTAACTTTTACCAAATTTTTCCAAAGGTAAGATAAAGTTCAGTAACAGGACAAAGGTTAATGTCTGGGATAGGCATTTAATTACTAATGCTATGATTTGTATTGAATACAAATTAACATTATGCTTAAAATAATACGCACTAACAGTTCACCTAAAATAATTACAGTTAAGACTATTTCAGTTATCAGTACTAATAATGTACAGTAACTGTCCAATTTTAACACAATTTGCATTGATTTAAAATAATTTATCTAAACTGCGGATTCAATAAAATTGTACCCTTTTTAATAGTAGAAGTCAAAATTTCTCGCTTTTCATCACGGTCGAGATATATGGCAGAACTATCCCATTTTATTAATTTCTATTTTGTCCTGGTCATAAATATGCATGTAACATTTGTCACTGGACGTTAAGCAAGCAGCAATCAATCTTTTAAAATCTATCAGTGAATAGGTATAGGTTACCAAAAGTATGATCTTATCCATTCTATATTTAGCAAACATTACAAACATTGAATAAGATTTTAATTTTATTGTCAAATATAGTACATTAAATTAGTGTAAAGGCAACATTCTTCAGCGCTAGTGAAAATCAAGGAAATAAATAATCAAATTCAATTAAAAAACTTTATAGACTTATAAATCAACTTATATTATTAGGGACACAAAAACAAAAACACTTGACAAAACAGACTATAGCATTTATAAATGTTAAAAGAAAGCATGTTAAAATTAAACAAATGTACATCCATGATAAGTGTTTATAATTCTATTATAACTGTTATATATAAGAATCCTAACGCTTTTTTGCCCTACAAAACAAATGTGTTGTTATCTGTTGAAATATTCAATTTAATAATCTGATATAATAACTAATAGTCATTTTCATTATAAAATTGTATTTGATATTTAAAAATAATTATAAATAAACAGGCTTTGGCGTGAAAAATCATCTTTCAAGGGCAATAACTCCTATAACTGATCAGTTGATGATTTCGGTCATGTTTGAACTATTTGTAGGTGTTATTTTGCTGAACATTTTTGCTATTTGAAGTTTCTCTAGATATCTGTCCTAGTTTTTGCAAAAAATTGAAAATAATATGGTAAAATTCATCCTTTAAGGGCAATAACTCCTATAAATAATCAATTGACGATTTCGGTTTTCTAATGACTGATTTGCAGGTCTTACTTTGTTGAACAATTTTGCTGTTTTAAATTTCTCTCTACCCATTATAGTTTCTGCTAAAAAAAAAATGAAAAAAATTTCATAAAATGAGCTTTTAAGTGCAAAAACTCCAATAAGGGATCAATTGACGAATTCGGTCCTTATACTTTACTTTGGTAGATCTTACTTTGCTGAACATGTTTGCTGTTTAAAATTTCTGTTTATCTATGACAGTTTTCAAGATGATAAACAAAAACTGGGAAATTTCATAAAAATAATTATTTCAGGGGCATAAAATCCAAATTATCTAGCAAATAGATCTTAACCTGCTGATCATTTAAACTCGATCAGTTTTGCTCTAACTCTTTAAATTTTGTGATATAGGCCAATAACTGCATTGTACCACGATGTTTTATTTTTACCCATGGCGGCCATGTTCGTTGGCAAAGCGGAATAAAATAACATAAACTTTATACTGGATACCATAAGGATCATCCAAACCAAGTTTTGTTAAAATTGTTTCAAAACTTTCAGAGGAGAAGATCTTTGAAAAAGTTAACGACGACGACGGACGCCAAGTGATAGCAATAGCTCACATGGCCTTTGGGTCAGGTGAGTTAAATTATATCGTGCTAAAGATGTATACGCTTCCTTAAAAAGACTTAAAACTATACTTCTATCTATCAGTATTTTAATGTCTTCATACATTTTTTTAGCTTCTAACGAGAATGTCGTCGTTCTTAATTACGTTCAAGATTAGGATTTAAACGAGATACAGGATAAATTTCACAAATTTTTTAAGCATAAACCGTTTTTATTTTACTGAATCATGGAATTTCTACCTGAGCTGGGGCTTTTTCGCATTTGTTATAAGTTGACCCACATATATAAGCACCTTGATTATTTGCCATTTGCAAACAAAGAAAACAAAATTTCTGTTTACATGTGCATTGCATTTGTTTACAACCATCAATGTGTTCAATCATAAGTCCACACTTAGGACAAGCTCTAATTGTTGGACAGTTTATTCCACTAATTTCCTTTTCCTTGCATTCACGCAATATCTTTTTCCTTGGATCTTCACTTGGACAATTAAAATTACCGCAGTCAGTACTTATTGATGTCTGCCATGTCCGACGACAAGACCAACAGAATTCGACGGCAGAATTGCCCTTCTTTGTACAAACCAAACAAAGAGTGCGAACAGTTTCCTCATTTACACGTGCACAAAAAGACTGACATTGCAAGCACTGTTGCATTCCAATAAAGTTAGATAGATAGTTCATAGAAAGTTTTGTTTCAAATTCTCTTTGTTCTTCTGCAGTAAGTGCTGCGCATTTTTTTACAATACTAAATTCCCACAGCTCGTCGCATGGTTCCGGATTCATGTGAGGGCATCTGAACTCTAATTTTCCACTTAGTAAAACACTTCTGCAATATTCAGTAAGGGATTCAGCACCTATAAAACGTAGTGATAGAGTACTCTTCATATTGTTTTATTAGTATACATGTATATATGTAGTTTGAATACTATCATTGTTGTGCTATCGTACAGTTTAAGATAAAACTCAAACATTTGAACCATCTTATAGAATAGAAACTGACCAATCGTAGATACATGCTTCTGTATTAGTTGTTATTGGCTTCAAACTAGCTTTCAGCAACTGCGAATGCTCTCAGATCTGTACTTTGTGTCTTTTGTGATTTTGTTAGCTTTTTTGTGCTTTGTATCGATCTAATGAGTTAAGCCCTATTCAACTGATTTTTATAGTCAAAAAACTTTGTTCTTATATATGTTGTACTGTTACACCACTGTTCCAGGTTTTGGGGAGGGTTTGGCAACAACAAACATGTTTAACCCCTTCACCTTCTGTAGGCCTGTACTTTAGTGGTTGTCGCTTGTTGCTGTATATCATATTTGTTTTTCGTTTATTGTTTTGTACATAAATCAGGCCGTTAGGTTTTTCGTTTGAATTGTTTTTCATTTGTCATTTCGAGGTCTTTTATAGCTTGCTATGTGGTATGGGGTTTGCTAATTGTTGAAGGCCGTACGGTGACATGTAGTTGTTAACTTCTACGCATTTGGTCTCTTGTGGAGAGTTGTCTCATTTGCAATCGTACCACATCTTCTCAATTTTACAATGTTTTTGTCGGATCATTATTAAATTACTTAACATAAGAAATTGCCCAAGATTTTAAAAACATTTTACATTTGCTATTAAAATTGATGATTTATTTTCTTAAAAATTAAAGAAACTCAAAGGATTATGGTTTGAACTTTAAACCGAACATTTACATACAAATTTGTCATAGTAGAAGCCGAAAAAGATAGTTTTCGAAAGTATACCGCAATTTTGACTAAATGACATATTTTACACGACACAATACCGTATCAATGGTGGAAAGTATTTAAATATTGTTAAATTTGGTATGCAATGATGTATTAAACATTTGAAATATCATCAAAGTGGCCACTATTTCACTCCATTGTACAAATATCAAGAAAGATCATCCGGGACCTGAAGCTTGAAGTACGAAATTTAAAAGCAGCTACTTTAAAACTTTTTCGGTCAATTAAACGTTCTAGATTATAGAAATGATACCAGGGTATATGAAATAAGGCCAATGACCACGAACAGATAAAATAGATACTTGTATACAATTGAATTAACTAACGTTTCGCCAATCAGTGCCGTATCCATTTCAAAATGCTTTTAAAAGCGTAGTTAGATTTGAATGTAATACTGAGGAAACGAAATTTAGACTTATTATTTTTTGTAAATTAAGCCTGATTTAAAAACAGTCAAGAGTAAAGTGGGGTCCGATTTCCACCCAACTGCCCATGATTTATTCGCCACCGCAAAGCTTTTTATCAAAATGCAAGAACAAGTAACATTTAAACAAAGTTTCAAAGAAATACAAATTCGATGCTACTGAGTAACCTAATCGAAGATGTAGGTGAAAACATCAATCGGGAATGTAAAACTAGAAAAAAAATTACGAAAATAGAATTGAGAAAGTTAATCATGATATCTGCAGAACTACGTTTCCAGTACAATAAAAACAAGCATTCTGAGAGTATTGCATGGCAATACATAGTCCCCTACCGGTTAACAATTAATTGCACTGGAACAAAATGCTAACTTGATCTATAACTTATCATGGTGTAAACTATATAACAAATATCAAGTCAATAGCTTCAAGCATGACGAAAAAATAGTGGAAAACTGATTATTTATTACAGATGGACGGAGTGCAAACCTAAAGCCCCCTTCGACTTCGTCGGTGGAGGACTAATTAAAACTATTAGACAACATACAAAAAGAAAATGAACACGCAATGTAATGTTGGTGTAAAAAAATAAGGAGAAGGTTTTGAATATGGAAAAATCTAATATTCAATCTATCTTTATTCCATAATCAGTAACATTCATGTGGTTTTGAACATATCTGGCCTTCCAAACATTGCATGTAGTCTCAGAGTGTAACTTATGCAATTGTAATGATTTTTTTCAAATGCACAAATGAGAGAGGTCCTTTGAATGCTTGTTTGTTTTGGTCGATTGGGTCTGTCTCAATGGCTTATGATTTATTTTCATTTGTTCTCTGTTCATTTTTAGAACAAATTTATTGATAAATAGGCTTATATAGTCTCAATACACAAAAAACGCATTACTAAATTTCAACTGAAAGTTCACGTACATGTATCTCAACTTTTGAAGTAAGATATTGATCTAAAATTGATTCAAATGTTGGATTTTGATTTTCTGATCTTTTAATCTTTTTGAAGGCTTTTTTCTGTGTGTTTATCAGACCAAAAAGAACTACGCATTAAGCATTATATTTCATAATTATAACTTTAATTTCTGTTACCTATTGCATGACCGCATGGCATTCTTGCTCTTTGTGCACCTGGGTCGTCTTCAAAAGTAATTATATCAGGCTCTGGGGAAAGCTCAACGTCAGGATCTATAATAAACTTTTTTGATGGGATGATTTCTAATTTCTCTGGATGAACGACATCCACATCTTTTACCGACCAGGATTCTCTTGTAAGATCAGCTCTGTATGGTCCTTGCTGAAGACGTAATACCACAACCAAATTTCCTTCATTCAGGATATTGTAGTCTGACAACATTAGCTCTTTCTTGTTGCCTTCAACATTGTTGAGTTCTTTACCTTAAAAACGTTGTCAACAGTTATACGACATTTTGCAAAAGCTAAGTACTAAGATAATAAAGTTGGTGGTTATGGAATGAACGCGCTATACAAAGGAATAGGCAATTGTTCGGAAAAGCGACGGATATTTGTTACAACTTTTTTTGTACAGAAATCAAATATTTTTTCAACCCTTTCAATACTTATGCACGTTTTTCGTTACAGAATTTAATTTTGACATACATTGCACGGCCAGTGTCATGTGCTTACTTGTTGTGATTAAATTTCAGTTCCTAAATTCCAGAATTTTTTTTAAAAGGGAGAACAAATTATCTTGTCCGACTTCATATGCCTTAGCACTTTGGGGAAAGAAAGCAAGTACATTTTATAATGAATGTTTTGAGGCAAAATACTACCATTTTGTCTCGTCTTTATTTTTATGAATATAAAAGAGACGTGGCGTAATGTCAATATGACATCAACCCAACGACAAAAAAAAAAACAAAACGATAGCTAGAGGGCAACATAAAGTATTTTTAAACAATAGACAGGTACAATGCAACATACCAAGCTCTAGCTTAATCCCGAGCCTAGTATTTAACTTGTGATTATTCAACAGAAACAATCAAAAATTTGCCATCAGCACTCAATTTTCCAAATAACAAACACGCCTGGTAAACCATCAAATCTCAACCAATTGGTAAAGCAAGAAAAAAGATTACTGGCACTTCCTGTTGAGCTTTTCTGGTATAAAATATCCGAAAAATAGATAGGGTAGGTCGACTTTTCGTCAATTTATCGTTAATTTGTGAATATTTTGTTAAATAAGAGAATGTCATGCCATAGATAACTGAATGAGATCTTGTCTCGTTTATTACCCGGACCAATATAATTCAAAATGACACCGGAATCACTTTTTCCCCGCAGGTAAGTGCGACTAGCTCAGTGAGTTTTTGACAAAATGACAGTGAGTTCATCAATAAAGCTAACGTATATATCAGTATATAAGTGTTTTTCTCTTAAGGTTCATCATAACAAATGGACAAATATGGCCGTATTTTCACCTCAAAAACTACTCTGTGTACAGACTTACCTGTGCAGTTTGGAAAGTTTTAAGGCCTGGCATCTACTAGATATATAAAAGTTAAATGCATTTTGTGTTTCAGAAAGACAAAATCGTTTTTGGATTTTGATGGGCATTTTTTTCCTTCCTGCAGAAGGTATAAAAATAAACAAACACCTGAATTGCATTTGATACTGTCCACTCAGTTACTACCTTTAACTCACCTATAGATGTGTAGATATCTATTGTCCATGCCAATCAAGGACAATCAATACAATACAAACCAGTTGTTACCTGAGAGGGAGCATCTCAAAGTTGTATCCCAATTTAGTTTATTTTTACACCTTCTGCAGGAATGAAAAAAAATGCCCATTAAAATCCCCAAAAGATTTTACCTTTCTGACATACAAAATACATTTAACTTTTAAATATCTAGTGGATGCCAGGCCTTAAAACTTTCCAAACTGCTCAGGTAAGTCTGTACACAGAGTAGTTTTTGAGGTGAAAATACGGCCATATTTGTCCATTTGTTATGATGAACCTTAATCAATATGAACGTATAATAACAGTTTTTCCTAATTCTGTACGAATATGATCTTATTAAGCTGAATTATGTCATGTTGAGATTGTCTGGTATCGGTTGTGATATTCTGGAACAATGTTGAGAGCTTCTGTTGAAAAAAACTTTCAACTAGCAAATTGTCAATCGGACACGACCGTCAAAATTCACGAACCTTCTGTATGGTGGTTGTCATTTTAACTTGTTTTTAGTTTTGACATTGGTCTAATACAGATACTAAAGAGTAGTGATTTTTAAAGTCTAGAAAACGAGATGGAAAGTCTAGCTCTGATTGTGAAGATTTAAAGTCTATAGCTAAAAATGTAATGTTCAGCGCTGGAGCAGTAAAGTCTAGTGTAAAAGATGTATAGTCAAGTGCTCAAGATGTGAAATAGAAAAACAAAGGATATGGAGTATCTATCTATGACACAAAATCCGTAAATGCACAGCAAAATCACTTTTATTGCTGTTCTTCATCCCAAAGTCACAATGAGGCCTTCAACACGGAGCAAAACAACTCTCACCTCACTGCAAGTTTGAGACGGCCCCTAGCACCGGCTTGAGCGGAATCCTTTACCAAATTAATTCGGATAGACTTTGTAAGATGTAACACCACCTTATCGGGCCAGGTCAAAAAGAACATACCGGAAAGAAGTACATATTTAAAACAACTTAGTTCCTACGCATATGTGTAAATATCAAACTATGTAGAATATATTTTTGTAATTTAGGTGTCAAATGAAAAGCGAAGGACTGGTGATCTTTGTAGAACACATTTTGACTGATAATTTTGAATAATACAAAAAATGTATGAATGAATTCTTAAATTGCCTGTTTCTCAGATATGAATTATCTGGTTTGTTGTATCCAAAGTTGCGGTAACAAGTACGATCTGATATGTAGATAATAGTATTATATTGGTCTCGCCCCCCTTATATGTTTGAAAGTGACAAAATTAACGTGGATAGGATTTGGGGCAAAGAATAGCGCATGGTGTGCGTCTTATTAAAATTTTAGTACACAAACTGGCCTAAAATTGAGAGAATGATGTGGCACACATAAGAGAAGTTAACCTATAGCTGTACAATGTAACCTATGGGAATGCAACAAGAGTATAAATCTCAATAACCGAAAATTATACCATAGCTATCTATGGTATAATTTTCACAATTATACCATGGTTTTGTTGTATTTGGTATTCGAAAAGAAAAAAAGGAAGATAACAAGGCCTATCCGAGGCCGCCTGAATTTTTTTTAATAGGAACAACAGAGTCAGTGTGGGGCCACTAAGCTAAACTGCCCGCTTTGCACCAGCCGATATAAATGAATGCCTAGGGTGGGAATCGAACCCACATACACCAACTCCGTTGTCCTATATTTTTAAATGAACGAAAATTCGATTCAAGAACAAAGTTTAAAAAAAAAAAGTATTTATAAATATATTATTATATTATACTTGAAAATATAATTCGATTTTCGGTTATTGAGATGTATACTTGGATTGTAGTCCCTTAGGCTCAACTGTATAGCTACATGTAAAGGTTGAAATTTGCCGTGGCGGCTTTTTAAGGGGGAGGGAGGGGGAAGGCATGCCCCTTTCAAGAAGCTTTATATATGGTAAATGCATAGATATTTCGTATTATTACTCCAAATATTGGATGGCTAGACCCCCCCCCCCCCCTCCTTTTCAAAATCCTGGATCCGTATCCGATTTTATATACATCTTAATTTAACGATTTGCTTAAGTAATAACTATAATGTTGGGCCGTTAAGAATAGAAAGCGTCTGGTTACTCTAAATAAAGGTGAACTTTTGTTTAAATTATCTATAGTCTACATGTGATTTTTAATGATCTTTAATCGTGATCATTTTGAAATCCTTTTTAATTAGATTAAATTAAATGTACAACTTGGGCTTCTGGTACAAATTAAAACATGGAATGATTCATCCAAACTCTCAGAAAGATTCTTGTGAATTAAATTTCCACAGAATTATAAATTAATACCAAAAAATTAAAAACATTTCAAATATTTTGATAAAATAAAAAAAAAACGAACCCTTTGCAGTTCAACTTTATCTCTGGGTTCCAGAAATCTTTCAAACTATATCTTGCGTCCATATACATACAGAACATATAATTCCTTCAACAGTTTTTAGTCTGTAACGTTACCCGTCACCAATGTGGATGTGCATCCATCGCTGTCGAAAAATCTTGTCCAACTGATTTCCCCGCTGTTTCAGAAGCCCGTGCGTATTTAATAAAGTAGGCGGAGCTTAATGTGTAAGGTCCTAAAAGGGTAATTTGACCAATTCTTATCAAAATTATTTTTGAAGTTAATAAACAAAAATATATGAAATATACATTTTTAAACAACAACATATGCAATAGGTTAAAACAGATATTTCATATATTTTGGTTAGTTTTGTGGTGTTTCGTAAATTATACCATAGTTTTTTGTTGAAGAATAATAAAACTTTCAAAGGGGGTTTATATGAACATCAAGATTGTTTTTTTGCATGTTTTATATGCCATTTTCTGTTTGACAGTCCGTTCGTACCGGTTATATGTCCAGAAATCATTGAAGTGTTTTCCAATAAACTTTTCAATACAATTTTATCAAAAAATGAGGTGAAATGCATGTTTTATTTGACATCTTGATAAATGAATGTCAATGGTTTCAGAAAAGGTATCGCTCAAATAGATTGAAATTTTAATTTGGACCAAATTTTGGGGACATTTGTTACCTTTTCATCCCACTTTTTGCAATAATTTGTATCAAATAAATGCAGATTGTGGCCATGGTTACATCAAATAGAGATAACATTTCACCATTTTAACCTATTGAAGATGCTGTTTTCATACATATGCATATACATGACATTTATTTTTAACAGTAAGCCTTATTTGTTAGAAAGATAGGAAGTGGTTCAAAATTATGAGTGTCAATTTTATTTTTTTTCTAACTGTGTATTGCTACATAAGTCAAGCGCCAAAGAAGCAAGCCCAGCGCTGGAGAAGCAAGGTAAAGCGATGGAGATGTAAAGCCTAGCTCTGTAGTTCTAAAGTCCAGCCCTGGTGATGTAAATCCTAGCGATGTAGCCCAGTCGATAGTAATAGTGGACGACTTCGTCAGCAGTGGAACTTTGCTTCTACAGCTCTGAAAGTTTAGATCTACAGAACTGGACTTGACATCACCTGCGCCGGGCTTTACACGTACAGCGCTTGACTTTATATCGACAGCGATTGTCTTTATATCTTCGGTTTTAGATTTAACGTCTCCAGCGCTAGACGTTCCATTTGAAAACCACTATACAAAAAGATTATGAATTATGGCGGTTGTATCCGACGCTTCGCTATAGTTGAAACTTTTATTCGACAGAAGATCTCAACTTTGGTCCAGAATATCACAACAGATACCAGACAATCTCAACCCGACATACTTTTTAAATTATTCAGCTTAATAAAATCATATTCGTAAAGAAATAGAAAAAAATGTTATTAAACGTTTTTATTTATTAAGAAGAATACTTATATACTGATTTCTCTAATTCTTCGTCAATTTATCCCTTTCTACACCCATTGTATAAAAATTTTTTTATCAACGTGTGGTTCGTTTGATCTCAGTTCTTCATTGGTTTAAATCCTATTATGACGTCGAATTTTCTTGCTTTCCTCTGAATTTCCTATTGTGACGGCATGAAAAAAGGCGACCATGCCTGATGACGTCACATAGAAAGAACACATCTTTTTGCAGATCATTCGAAAAGAAGATTTAAATTTGCCTGCGTATTGTTTGAAAATCATTAGAGAAACAGATTCCACCACCCAATCTCGTGTAATACGATATTTATCCACTCTCGACAGTTAAATTTTAAATATTTAAAACTCTCGGCAAGCCTCGCGTTTTAAATTTGAAAATTTAACTGTCTCGAGTGGATAAATATTGTATCACACTCGATGCAGTGGTAGAATCTATATTTCTCTAATTTTTCGTCAATTTATCCCTTTCTGCACCCATTGTATAAAAAAAATTTAATCAACGTGTGGTTCGTTTGATCTCAGTTCTTCATTGGTTAAAATCCGATTATGACGTCGATTTTTCTTGCTTTCCTCTAAATTTCCTATTGTGACGGCATGAAAAAAGGCGACCATGCCTGATGACGTCACATAGAAAGAACACATCTTTTTGCAGATCATTCGAAAAGAAGGAATAAATTTGCCTGCGTATTGTTTAAAAATCATTAGAGAAACAGATTCCACCACCAAATCTCGTGTAATACGATATTTATCCACTCTCGACAGTTAAATTTTAAATATTTAGAACGCTCGGCGAGCCTCGCGTTTTAAATTTGAAAATTTAACTGTCTCGAGTGGATAAATATCGTATCACACTCGATGCAGTGGTAGAATCTATTTATATACGTTAGCTTTATTGATGATCTCACTGTCATTTTGTCAAAAACTCACTGAGCAAGCCGCACTTACCTGCGGGGAAAAGTGATTCCGATGTCATTTTGAATTATATTGGTCCGAGTAATAAACGAGACAAGATCTCATTCAGTTATCTATGGCATGACATTCTCCTATTTAACAAAATATTTACAGATTGACAATAAATTGACGAAAAGTCGACCTACACTATCTATATTTTTGATATTTTATACCAAAAAAGCTCAACAGGAAGTGCCAGTAAACTTTTTTCTCGCTTTACCATTTGGTTGAGATTTGATGGTTTACCAGGCGTGACAAAACACATTATAATATGACATACGACAAATACTGACGATTGATTGATTGATTGATTGGTGTTTAACGCCACTTTCAACACTATTGTGCTATTTCGTGGCGGTCAGTTTTTTTTTTGTGGAGGAGGCCGGAGTTCCCGGAGAGAACAACCGACCTTCGGTAGGAAAACTGACAATCCTAGTCAATTGAGATCGAGTGCACCTGCCCCGTGCGGGATTCGAACTCGCATGATCAGTGTTGACTGGCTAGTGATACAGTAGTTTGACTACTTAGACCACTCGGCCACTGTGGCCCCCAAATACTGACGAAGTTTCTGATTAAGTTATTATGGTGAATTTAGTCCTATATTCAAAGTCGAACTAAGTCAAAACTTACATAGGTAAAATACTCGCATGTCCTCCGAACTTATTGATGTCTTTTGGTGAATAAGAGACTTCAATTCTGTAACACTTGAATCCTGAAATGAATACAACTTTTTATTATTCACATCCATTTACATTATGAGTTCATATAATATTGAAACAGATATAAAATATGACATGTTGAAAGGGTATTATTCACATATATATTCACAGAGACATTTTTTTAACACGACAGGTGCCACATGTGGAACAGGATCTACTTACCCTTACGGGGCACCTGAGGTCATCCCCGGTTTTTGGTGAGATTCGTGTTGCTCAGTCTTTAATTTTCTCTGTTGTGTTTTTGTACTGTTGTTTGTCTTTTGGTCTTTTTCTTTCTTTTTTTTGCCATAGCGTTGTCGGTTTATTTTTAACTTATGAGTTTGAATACCCCTTTTGTATCTTTCGCCTCTGTTTTAAAATAATCGTTTTCCTGTTGTTGCTACACCATAGCTTTGTTTATCTGTTGCAAATATTTTGGAAAATTGGTAATTTGAACCTCGAAGACGGAAAATGTTGAACATACATTAGCAGTTTTAACCGTTAAAATTAACTTATTCGAGGGGAAAGCGGAGGTATTATGTTGATTAGTTATTTCATTGGATTCCTTCTTAGCGGTAACTTGTGTGTGTGATGTGTGTGTTGTTTTTTTTTTAATGTTGAAAAACTCATATGACATCTCTTTAAAACATGCTTAAAAAACGCAAAGAAAGATGTTTCGCTGACATGGTTTCTACAAACTATAATATTGACGTATTTTTTTTCGAGAAGGGCACGATGTTTTTGACAGTTGAAGGGACCTGAGAAATTCAGAAAACAGGTTTGAAAATCAATTCAAACATAAGCAAGATTTGTCTTTCTTTCTCATTGTTGGAGGCCGTACGGTGGTCTATAGTTGCTTACATCTACGTCGTTTGGTCTCTAGTGGATAGTTGTCACATAAGCGAGCATACATGTACCACATCTTCTTATTATTAAATGTTTACCTCCTCAATGGTTAAAGCAATAATTTTACTGTCAATTCCATGTAAATATAAGTTTAACATCATGTCCATTGCCTCACAAGTATCTGGAAAATATTTCAAAACAAAGTACATTTATAAAGACACTGATTGCCACTTGATTCTTTTACTTTCTGTATCTGGCAATTTACTGCTACCAGAAATAACCTTAGGGTCCTAGACATATAGTCGATACAATTTAGTTATATTTTGGTATTGTACAAGTTTTTCTAAAACTGTTTATGGCGTCTTTACACGAAATCAATTGGGTGTATTGATTGATATTTTAGTCTGGCAGAACATGATATACTTATTATTTTTATTGGCTTTGAACTAACTTCCATTTACTGCGAGTTCTCTTAGATTGGTACTTTTTGTTAGGTTAAGTGTTTGGTTTTTTTTTTTGTTCCTCGTGCTTATTTGGTACATGTAAGTCCGGCCATTTCCAATTGATATTAACAGTTTATGCATCTGCGGTGTTGTCATACCTCCTCCGGTTAGGGAATGCTTGAGCTCTTGCAAACATGTTTAACCCCACCACATTCTTTATGTGACTGTTCCAAGACAGGAGCCTGTAATTTAGTGGTTGTCGTTGGTTACTGTCTACCATTTGTTTTCTACTTTTATTGCTTTAGCAAAATTCAGGCCGTTGGTTTTCGTGTTTGAATTCTTTAAAATTTTGTCATGTCGGGGCTCTTTATAGCTGACTATACTGTCTAGGTATGAGGTATGGGATTTGTTCATTTTTGAACGCCGTATGGTGACCTAAAGTTGCTTACATGCAAACAGTATAAATCAGTACACATCCTATGGATTAAGTGTAAATTTTTACGTCAATAAACAGCCTGAGAAAAGCATGACTTTGTGTAATGCCACAATGTAAGTAGTACTAGTTAGAAGCGACAGGATGTAGGACACATTAGTTTATGTTTTAATTAATTGAAAGTGTGCCGATTATAACCAATTCTGATAATTAAAAACGAAGTACAAATTTTGGGGGCATGATTCCGGCATGAAAACAGAAATAGATTTTTTTTAAAACAAGGCAAGGTACAGGTAGATCTGATTACTAACATATCATTTTAGTCTTGTTTTTCTCATTTGTAGTAACGACGCAGTTTTTATATCTTTTTTTTCAAATTTCACTATAAATCTCGTTTGGTAAAAAGTATAACGCTTGCGAAAACAATGGAAAATGAAAATCAATGTTGACCTACTTTGAATATTAAGGATCAGCAATAAACTACATGTACTTTAAAATTCGTCGTTAATTCGTGTTAAAGAAAATTTTGGGTTGGTTTTTACTAGTCAACCGCAGAACTATATCATGTATACAGTAAATTTAAATCAAAAATCATTTCTCAAAAAAAAAGTGTGAATAACTCTAGTAAAACAATTAACCAAGCTTACCGTGCTTCCACATGAACGAAGATAATGTAACAGACATCTAGTTTCTCTTTTATGTATCCATAAATTTGATTTTCAGAAAATTAAAGTATTTGCTTATCGTATGATTTCATAGTACTATTTTTAGATACTAACTTTAAAATTAGCTCGGGAAGTTTCGTAATTTTGTAAATTTCCGGGCGACATCAACTTTCCATACAACCCAAATTAAAAAAAAACAATAGAAATAAGTTGAACTTAAAATTAATAAAGACATGTCTACATTATTCGTTAATTGATAAATGCATGTTGTCAAACAATATTATGTAATATTTATTGAATGTAAACATGGTATCGTGCCGAATGTTCATAAATGACACTTTATTGTAATTTAACATTGCTCTAAGAAGCAAAAAAAAAAGATTTTTTTCCCTCTGTATAAAGAAAAATCAGTGATCGATTTGTATGTAGCTGATTTCTTAAACTACCTGGTACCATTGACTAAATAAATGCTGAAATGAGTGTGAAATTAAATTCTCAAATATGTAAATCGATTAGATCTAGACAGAGACTTTTCTTCTATGGTTGATATAGATGTCTATGTTTCAGGTCAACGATTAGACATTGTTGATAATTGTAAAAAGCGTCTTTGTTTATGTAATTAATAATTGGCTTGAATAATTTAAACTAGATTAAACAAATAATTTGTCTTATAATATATTCTATCAATTATACGAAAAGTATAAAGTCTTTACTTACGCTTAAAATATCATATGTTCTTCCATTGTTTTGTTTATTGTTGCACTCAATGGGATATTTGTAATGAAGTTTGCAGGACCATGAAACTGGCATAATGATATCATCTACTTTATTGCTACAGATGTTCAGCTGATGAAAAACCAAATTAATAATTGATCATTTTATTAATATTATTGAATATGTATTCATGTAGATATGATATGTTTTGTTGATTTGTACTTATAACTTGAGGACCATCGGTAATTATAGTAGACGTGCACAAACAGGTTATCTTCTTTTAATAAAGATTTTTTATCTTTTGAATTTTCAATTTCACAAGGTGTGAATCATATCATTATCGACGAGAAAACAAATTGATGACCCAAAAAATCTTCTCCCATCATCCGATAGCTTTTCATGTATTTTTTTAAATTATTTTCCTGAAAGTACATATACTAGTATTGTGTCTATTCATATTCAAACTTCTGCCATTATTTGTCATTTGCTGGTACTCTTTACTGAGTACATAATCAAACATTTTTTTAATTTAATTTTATTTCAACTAAACATTCTGTTATACTTTTACCTTTCATTGAAGAGTGAAATGCTACTGGAAGAGGACCGAATCCTAAAGACAACACATAACATTGGAACACTTGATAGAAATAAAAGGTGTTGGATATACATCAATAAGACAGTTACGTGACAGCAATCCAACGACACAGCCAAAAGACATGAAGAGATCAATATAATTATGGTCTTCAATACTTGAGTTTTATGATTTTTGAATGCCTAAGTTCTATTTCTATTTTTTTTCTTATAAGCTCACCAGGCCCAAAGGGCCAATGTGAGCTTTTCCTATCATTTGGCGTCTGTCGTCGTCCAATAACTTTTACAAAAATCTTCTCCTCTGAAACTACTGTTATTGAATATAACCAAACTTAGCTACAATCATCATTGGGGTTGCCACGTGTGGAACAGGGTCTGCTTACCATTCCGGAACAGCTGATATTACCCCTGGGTTTTAGTGTGTTTCAAGTTGCCCAGTCTTTAGTTTTTTTATGTTGTGTTTTGTATACTGTTATTTGTCTTTTGGTCGTTTTTCGGGGTTTTTTCCATGGCAATGTCAATTTGTTTTCGACTTATGAGTTTGAATATCCCTTTGGCATTTTCACCTCTCTTTTATTGGCCCCTTTTTAGCTCAATTGGCCAATGAGTGATATATCGGCGCACGTGCGTTTGTCGTAAGACAATTGACATTTTCATCATCTCTGAAACTATCATTCCCATTTAAACGAAACTTGCATTGACAAGAATCGTTTTGAAGGCATACTAAATAAAATTTCTTATTTTGTTCTGATTAGATGAAAAACATAACAAAAACTTTTGAAATAAAGGATACATCCTTTACATCTTCAGGAGTCTGATGATTGGATGACTCTCTATAGCAGTTCCTTCTTTAATTTTGATTTGGGGGAAACGTCATTGGTGTTACAGGGTTCCTATTTAAAACTTTGAAAATACCATTTCAATCTTCTTCTTTCAAACCACTGTGTAGAAAAAATCTGAAGTATCCTTAATGAGACATTCTCATTTCGTTCTGATCGAAAGATAAACGTGGTCACCGGAGGTAATCTTTGGTTCTGATTTTCCAATATATAGCTTATTTGAATCTACATGGCGAAATGTTAAGATGTGGAAAAAAGGCATCCAAAGATACATTTGTCAGAAGATATTTTCTTTCGTTATCAGAATTAAAAATCTGACAAGAACTCTAATTAAGTCGACAGTATATTAAGTGATATCATAAAACAGACACAGGTCCCTTTGAAGCATCAAGTTTTGTACTCGATTTGTATATAATTTTCTTTTTAATTTATTTTTACCTTTTCGGTATGCTCTGCTGTATGGTAAATGTTTGTCGATTTTATAATGAACTATTCCTTTTCAAATCAGAATAATTTTTTTTCTGATTTCCTTCTGTGCTTTTGGAGTAAAGTATTAATTGCTTACGTTCCTTTTTATGTTTATGCAAATTCATCAGTATTTTAGTCTGGTTTTCCTTTACATGTATTAGTTTTGTCGTTTCAAAACAGGAAAGAGTTTCATCGACTGTCTAATTTGTAAGTTACATCCTGATGGAGATAAACAAAGCCCCTGCTTTTTTTTTATTTTATTTTATCTATTCTAATCCTTGTGTCAGCTTTTGCATCAAAGAATTTTGAATAGCTCTTCACAGTTTAATTTCTGTCAAGGCATAGATGTATAAGGATTTAGTTCAAAGCACCTGATGAAAGGAAGACGAACTACTTATACTAATCTGAATCTTTGTAAATGTATAGGTTTTATATAATTACAAGCAGACAAGAAATTATAGTGGATGTTCAAACAATTTTGCACAGTTATATTGAAAAGCTATTATGTGTTATAACACCACATGCGACCATATAATTTTTTGTTAGTTTAGACAAAATTGAGTCTGGTTCATTAATACACGGAATATATAAATAGAAAACTAAAAGAATGCGACATGTACTAAGTACTGATCAGACAGACTTCAAATGCAGATATACTTTTTAGGTCACAATCTAAGTTTATTCAAGAATAATGTGTCGTGCGATGGCAGCTAATGCGTTGTCACTGGTATGATTCTATTGATACATATATAATATGTTTGGTAATATAAATAAATAATGTTTTAGTGCTAAAACTTAAGTTGCATCTCACGAAACCGAAGTCGACCTCTTGCAGGTTTGTCTGTTGTTTGTAGCCCCTTTAAGTTTCCACTCTCTCAAACATTTTATACTGTTGGCTTTTTAAGCTTTTAGTTTTGAGCGATTTTGAAATGGGTTATTCCGGAAACAAATGCAATGCCCATGGATCAGTATAGGTATGTATTGATGAGAAATTTAAAAATACCAAGAAAAAAAACAAATATTCTATATAAATATTCTGGCATTATAACAAATAATTTCTATCGATTTTAGAATGAATTTTTAACTTTCAAATCAGAAATATAGTCGTACTTTCAGATTGTATCCTGTTCTTTTGGAGTATAGTATTATAAACCTAACATTAAATTGAAAGCGTTATATTAAATCACTGCTGATAAAATCAAATTATATCTCAAAAATGTATTGGGACTACATTGATATCTACCTTCCCCATCAAATCGTCCTCGAATGTCATTACAATTAGATCTATATTAGATGGTAACTTTTAAAACTATATTGACTGTCATGAATGTCTGTCCGAGAAAAATCGGTGAATTTATTGGTATTGAAAATTGTCTGTCTCAAACCAGTGCTTTAAAAAAAAACTTATTATTGGGTGTCTATTATACACTTGTTTTGGAGAATTTTTCATGCAAAAAGCATGTAATTTTGCATGATAAACATCTAACAGTTAAAGCCAAAATGTCCGACATCAAAGGTATCGGAGAGCCGCTGTTTTACGTGTTTGTCTTACAATGTTAAATTCAAGAAAATGAAAGAACTTCTTGTGGTAATTTGCTTAATTAAATTTATGCCAGATACACATGCCATGAAAAAATCAAACCTGTATCAATACACAAGAAATATACAACGCTTATAATGTAAGACATTTTAATGAATTCTTAACAGAAATAGACAACAATAACAATACATATTAACATATGATAAAGAATAAATTAACATCACGAAATAGAATTTTTGATACAGATAAACAGTATATAAGTATCCGATATTAGTAGATTACTATAGTTCTACATAAACTTCTTCATTTAAATTAGCATTATTTACAATAATGAAAATAAATCTTACTAACTAATAAAATTCTTTCAGTAGACAATTGTGCCAAATCATAAAAGGAATTATCAAGCAATGTTCGTCTGAGAATTTTTTAGATATATAACTAAGAATCAGTCAAGCATATCCTTTTTCATAAAACTGGAATTTTAAATTTTACTTACAATACCAGTAACAAAGATACCTTTTTCGATCATAATATAAAATACCAGTAATAAAGATACTCTTTTCTGATTTTAATTAAAATGTCAGTAATGAGATTCCTTTTCGGGTTTTAATTTTATATACCAGTAACAGAAGATACCTTGACTGTGAAAATGAATGACAATTCAAAGATGTATTATAATTGTTAAGATGAAACAATATATCAGAAAGTGCCATAATAGAGGAAAAGTGTCATATTTAGAATTATTATGAAAAGTATTGGGATTTTTTCATTGGATTTGACAGTAATATGGAAATATTCCTTTATCTTACTGGTACATTCTTTACATGACGCATAAAATTAAATTTGGAGAAAATTCAGTAAAGTGCCGATTTTGGGCTTTGTTATTTCAGGAAAGTAGGCGTCCATTAGATTGTTTTCATCATGACACATATATGTTTTATTCAGAAACATTTATTTAACAATACTAAATTCATAATAATTAATACATCAAATTGAATGTTCTTGAATACAAAGTCATACAGAAGTTATGGTATTTTATCAATCGTTATTAAACTTTTCTTTTCGCCTTGAAACATTTAACAAGTTATACTTGTATAAACAGTTTGGCTCTTCAAGTCGATCTCAATAACATAATTTCTAAAGTAAAAAGGTTTGAAGTATTCAAAATCTTGTACTTAAGCATAACAGAAAAATCACAATCACTTTTTTGTTAAAGAAAGGCTATTCAGTATAAAACCATACATATATAAACACATTTTATAAATACTGGGGAAGTAACGGTAAGTAGTACATACATTTTATAAATTCATATACTGGAGCGATTTAAAAAAAAACAACTGATCTATTCAGTTCAATTCACGATTAAGCCTTTGAACGGGACAGGAATACCATAATAAAACATTGTTAAGATCACTTATATACACGGACCTACGTTTCAATGGCCAACATTTAGGAGACGACCATATGATTATCGGGGAGGGATATGATAATGGAAATATTGATTTTCAGCTGTTCCTAGGCAGGCTTTTTTAATTCACACTACAAAGACGTTTATTTCACAAGTTAATCCTGCATTTTGTTGTGCTGAATATTCACTTTCATTCGTCTTGTGCAAGCTTTTTTATTTTGAGTTCTTACAAGGTCCGTATATTCAATTGAAATTCCCCCAGCCCCAACCCCCGGATATTAAATGATCGTCGAATTCAATATATGAGTTAGCCTGATATATACATGTACAGTTTTGTTTTTTAAGTACCAAAAATACAAACTAGTAATTGACAAACAAATCGTAGACAGAAAGAAATATCACAGACACGTTAACAACCACACATTTAAATTACTACCCTTTGTTAAGTAACTGTGTCGAATTCTTGAGCAAAGTTTATCGGAGAGACTTGTGACATCGATCGGGATGTTGTTCAACGCAAGACAATATTACAATTTTATAGACAACAACTTTGGGAAATTAGCTTGTAAGTAGTTATTTTTTTCCACCTCTGTATCAATTGTATTGATACTATACATTTAATGTTACAAACTGAGGTTAGGTTGATATTCATTATCAACTTTTGATCGCCTGATATAGTTTTTATTACAACAGGAGACTAAAGTTGCCTCCCTTACACCATAACAAATTAAATTCTTCTTTGATATCATTGTTGTTTAATTTGAAATGCTATCAAAATTTACAACTAAAAATAACTACTTTTTAAATTTGAAAAAAATTTAAATAAAGCCAATCTTAACAAACTGTTCCAAAAATAGTGTGTTGTTTGCATCAAACTTTTTATCATCTGAAAATGGTGGGTAATTATGAAGGATTAAGCATTTACATTATGTATAACATATTAAACTTATAAGCAGTCAAAACTCATAAATCTACTCAGTAGACATTGGTTTGATTGGGCCAAGCTGTAAATTTTCTTCTGGTTCTTCCTGCATCTTGGAGTAATACTTTAGAGATGACGGCATGATCAGAGAACTTTCACCAGCTTTTTTCCTTTCGTACAAAAAGATAAACGATGCTCTTGGTTTTTCTGCAAAAGTCAGGAAAGATGTTTAATTATTTTTTTTAAAGAATTAAAGTATTTGTAAAATTACCAAAGAACGAATTATATTTAAAAACTCATCACAGATGCCAGTAGTATAATTTGGTACACCAGAGGCGCGTTTTGTCTACATTATGGACTCATCATCAACGGCGCTCGAATGAACACAATTGGAAGGCAACATCAAATACGATTCTGAAGAGCACTGAAAACCAAATATTTCCAAAAATTGTGCCAAATATGGCTAATTTCATCTATGCCTTGTGGTAGTAAAACCATTAGTACGATTGTGCGTGTTAATGATACGTCATCGCCAACGTACATGTATTTTTGTACCGGTAATAGTTGTTTCGAATGATTGTTACGGAAACCTTGTTACGACTTTTACTTCCTCTTGACGTAAGACCAAGCAACCGCACCAAAAACCAACGGTGATCTCGTGTGCTTTGGAAGAGTAAGTAGATCTTTTCAACTATAGTAACACCCTTCTTTATGAAAGAACTAAAAATAACTACCAAATATCGATAATCAACAACAAATTCATCTTTCAAACTTTGATTCTTAGAATTTTTGAAATATGCTTACCTTTGTATTTAATAGTCCTCTTTCCTATAAGAACTAACAGCACATAAAAGATAACAGCTAGTATTGTAGCAGACAAACAAAATGTCAAAAAAGTAGGTGGCCCTATCAACGCAAACAACTGGAAATAAAATAAATATACAATTTAGATTTTAGTTATTGTAACGATAAGACCTTTTTAAATAAACAATTGGACTAATTATTCGGATTAAGCATTTTAGTCCCATTTCCTGACACTCATTTATCAAAAGCATGGATGGTGAATCACTATTTAAGCACTTATTTTTGAGGATTCAAGGTTGATTATCCATATAATACAGTTCAAATCGTTACAAAAGAAAATATAAACGAATAATATTTGCGATGAAAAATATCAATTTTCCTACCAACTTTAGAATGACATAAAATACAACATACACAGTTCTAAGCATACATGTATAAAGACATGCATATGCAAACTCGAAATGTATCATCTTTTATTATTTTCTCTGCAAGAAGGTATAACTTGGAATTGAATGACTATATATACATTCAAAGTATTGGCTATATCGTAGGAGATAGGCAAGTCATTACAAGAATCAGGATAAAGATATCCAATAATGCAAACTCACGTATACTGGTATCTTTACCATTTAAAGAAAAACAAAAGTTAATGTACTTACGTTTCCAACAACGATTGGACATAGTGTTTCCCCCAAGGCAGCACAAACTACCAGACACGACGTGATGGATGCTAAAAGAAATTATACTCTTGATTGTGAATTGATGTTTTTGATTTGATTTGTAATAACGTTTCATGCAAAGAACCAATAAATCGTTTTGAAGATATAGATTGACTGATTGGTGTTTGCTTAACACCCAGTGGCAAATGTTCCGTGTATATTCAGTTAACAAGTTAACAATAAATGCAATAGTTAGGTTCTGCATGTTAAAAAGGATAAATTGGATAGAAACAGAAATCTGTCTCACAACAGGACTCCTACAGAGTTGTGCAAGGGTTATTTTAGTTCAAAGAGCGTTGCACTCTACCTACAAGAGACAACCCCAAGAACCCCCCTTTTTTTGACGATCAATGCATTTGAATGGGGACATATAGTTGGAACCACCCCCTTTATCCTGGGTTAAGAACCACCCCCCCCTTTTATAAATGGCTGGATCCGCCCCTGCATTGGATTGAACGTCTTAATTCGGACCGGACGTGGCTGCGTATTCAAACTTCCTGTACAGTCATACTGGCGGGCGAGTCTGTAGCAAAGGTTTTACTACCAGATTGGAGACGTCTAGGTGACCGTATTACAACTATACAACAGTCAATCTTTTTAGCTTAAAGTATATATATCAATGTGTACTAAAACGTCCATGAAATAAAAATAATAGACACTGGCACACTTTTCGGGGTATGAAAAAGATATTCCGGAAGTAAGGAACTTTTGGTTGGCTCATTAAAACTGAAACTTTACTGCATATTCAAGCAAAGAAAACAAATTGTGTGGTAAAATATTCAAGAAAAGAATCTGCATATAATACCCTGGTAAGGTTGGTGTTTATTACATGTATTTGTTTATCGTGTTATTTGCACAATTTATTGAGAATTTCAAGTAACTTAATTATTGACAGACTGGATACAAAACTAATATTCCTAGATTTTTTTTCCAATTTGATCATTCGAGTATTTCTTCTTATACAGTACACCAATCTTATATAATGTTTTAAATAAACAAATAAGATAAAAAACCTTTTAAGTTTAAAGTTATCTTAAATGATTAAAATGATTCGATTGTTGTTCAGTATAGTACTTATAGAGATTTGCTTTGTAAACTTACACTTTCATTCGTTATACTTTACTATCCAAGCATCTGTAGTACGTATTTATTTAAATCTCGTACTTACGATTAATATTTATAAACTGTTCTGCCAATGATATAGCTGTAGGTGTCATACTACTTAAAAATAATCCTAAACTGCAAACTCCTATATATATAACTGTCTTATCAGTGTGAAATATTAACATTAGAATTGATGCACCTAGAACTCCTCCCTAAAATGTAAGAAAATACATACATAAGTCATACATTATTTACTTGGATGGATAGTTGTCTCATTGGCACTCATACCACATCTTCTTATTGTATTATATAAGTATTAACAATTTGTTCTTTTTGAGTCCAATGAGACATGTGTGGTTGCTTTTTCACCGTACCAAATCTTTTTGAATTTAAAAGACCTTTTTGCTTTAATTCAAAGATCATAAATCATCTTGATTTATTTATTGCCTTCCAATCTATTAAAGGATTAAGCATGTTTACCCTGTTGTCCCATCTGAATTCACTCAATTTGGTGTTCTTGCGTTTCTTATGATTTTTGCTCAAATAAGCATAAGGAGGTGTGGTATTATTGACAATGAGACAACTACAAATTGCATCTACCAGAGACCAATGGAGGAGGATGTTAACACATGCAGAACATCGCACATCCTTCAACAATGAGCAAAACCAATACTACATGGTATTAAGCTTTAAGAGGATTAAGCATGACAAAATGTGAAACGATTCGAAAGAGGAACCCAAACAGCCTGATTAGTGCTTAAACAGTAATGACAGACCACAACCATTGGATTACATAATCCTGACTTCGGATAGGTACATAAAGAACTTAAGCGCTCATAAAAATGTTTAACCCCGCCACATTCTTTATAAGACTGTCAGGAGCCTGTAGTTCAGTGGTTGTCGTTGGTTCATTTCTGTCATATTTGTTTTTCGTAGATTGTTTTGTTATAAATAAGGCCGTTAGTTTTCTCAATTGAATTGTTTCATATTTTTCATGTCGGAGCCTTTTATAGCTGACCATACGGTATGGGTTTTTTCATTGTTGAAGGCCGTACGGTAGCCTATAATTGCTTACATCCACTTCATTTGAACTTTGGTGGATAGTTGTCTCATTGGAAATTATACCACATCTTCTTATTTTTATATTTACGGGGTTAAACATGTTTGTGAGCCTCAACCCTCTCACTAACTTGTGACAAAGATGTAATATATGTTTATATATATCTCTCTGGATTTTTTATATTTGTACCGTCATCTGCATGGTATGTTCTATACTAGAGACAAACGGAAATCAATATAATACTTTTATATTTATTTTTTCATATTGAGTCATCTTTTGTTGTTTGAATGTGTACATTTTATCAGTATAATTAGAGTAGTTATTCTCGATTTGTTCACTGCACCAAAGTCATCATGTAACTTATATAATAGATATTGAATATACATGCTGAAAGTCCTGAATTATTGAACAAATCTATTCTTTGAAGTGTGTTCAGAATATATAACTCGATGAACAGGGTATATCTTTTCTGTTTTCATCATGCAAATATTAGAACAATGAAAACGTATGAGGCATTTATACTACTATTTTATAACAATGTTGTTTTCCTTTTCCAGTTATATACATACCAGATTTATAGACAACATAAACAAAGACGTTAGTCTCGTGGCAAGTGGAATGGCTACTAAACGACCAAAGGCGAAACACCCCTGTAAAATGAATAAAGTATTTCAGGCAAATAATTTTTCAAGTTGTTCATTATTTATGCATATTCATCTATTTTTTTTTCAAAAAAAATTTTCATAGTTTCCGCTTTTGTGGACTCATAACAGCGTACTCGCTAAAGTTCATGTTTGCGGTTCGATCCCTGTTCGGATATTTTGTGTTTTTAAAAAATACGCTGCATTTAAAAATGTCGTTAAGAAGTCAGATTTTTGAGTCCAGAAAGTAACCTCGTGGTCTAGCTCTTTAAGTACTTGAAAAAGTCGTACAACTCCAGAACAAAGCTGGTTAATATTGATATCACATCAACATATATCATATACATGTGTGTTTGACATTAATATTGATATCACATCAACATATATCATGTACATGTGTGTTTGACATTAATATTGACATCACATCAACATATATCATGTACATGTGTGGTTGACATTAATATTGACATCACATCAACATATATCATTTACATGTGTGTTTGACATTAATATTGACATCACATCAACATACATCATGTACATGTGTATTTGACATTAATATTGTTGAAAGATTGCCTGCATTACGATTAACATTCATTCGAATTTCAGAATATATGTAACATACTTGCTCTTACTGGGACCTTTTATGTTATATTATCATATTTAGTATAGAATTTTAGTTTGCTTAAAACTTATATTTATTCCATAAATAAATTACATACCCAGAAGCATGCGTTCATAAATGCTCCTTCTTCTTTTCGCAAATTTGCTATACTTTTTTCAGCATAAGAATAGATATAATCTCCAAATGATGACTACAATTTAAAACAAATGATACAGACCCAAAGAAAACACCATTAGTTAAGAAAATATAATTGTGAATACTGTACAGTAAACTTTTGTATTGTTACATCGCCTTTCTCAAATTATTTTTGAGTGGAGGTTACCTGTCAAATATTTGTTTCTAAAAATGTTTTTTTAAATGTTGGATGTAACGATTGATCATTGGAAAATACAATCTATTTTACATAGCCGTCTGATCTGTTAATTTACCGATTGCGTCCCATTCCCGATTGTGACATTTTGACCTGGAGTGGATTCGCATAGCGGTTGGTGCATTTATAGCAGGAGACGCTTGCCCTATTGCCGCACCAAGTCTCAGTCTATCTATAGTTCATGCGAATTCTTGTGTCTTGTTTATTTTTCCCTTGATTAGTATTTTCCTATTTGATTGATGAGTAAACTTCTGTTGCCTTTAAAATACAAAACAAGGTTGTGAATTTATTTCGTTTACTCTCTCTCTCTTCCATATGAAGATTCGTGGAATTTACTATTTGCCTACGTGATGCAAAACAAGACTAAATAAAAATTTAGTTGTCTTAGGTGAGTGCACCTTATATAGTGTTAGTGCACCGTTGACAACCGTATGGTCTTTGTTTGCATAAATCGTGGACGGTTGTTGTTTAATGTCGGTCGCATTGATGATTGCTGTATATACAATCTATGTTTATTCGAAAAACAATTCCAGTGAGAAATCGCGATGAAAATGCTATGCAAGAAGACACAAAATACCAAAGGAATAGTTTTTTGCTTCACTCCACTTTTCGACAAAGAGGCTTACTACAATACAAAGCTAAAACTAATGAATAGTGATATGCACAATTTGTTATAACTGTTTGTTGAGCTATATAAATGTATCAAATATAATAATGTATTATGAAGGCAAATAACTTGACTCTCAAGCTAGTTTCGGCTCATTAAGTTTGTTTAACCCAAACATTCATTTGTATTACATGATTTTTAATTAAAGTTTATCAATGCTGAAGAAATTTACCTGGATCCCATCGTAGATAAACAATGATATTGACGCCATAATGGTTACAATTATTATATGCTTCATACTAACGCCTCCTCTTTCATCTAAAATGTACATATAAATGATCACTAATTAAGATTTTTTTTAAATTAGCCGTCTACATCTATAATAACTATATAAAAGGAAAAATTGGAAAAAACCGTGTCAAAGCAAAAAGGTCTAAGACTTGTTTTGAAGAAGTTGCTGTATATTATTAAAGATATTTCATAAAATAAATTTTCTGCTGATCTAAAGATTTTTGTACTTTATTGTATTGTCTGTTGTATTTGATCTTTTTATTGTCTAGATTACTAATTCTTCTTTCTCTCTCCTCTTGTGATTGAAAGAAGAAAAAAATCAAATAGCCAGGAAATGAACATAATTGTTTTAATATGATGCAATTAAGGAAACAGAACAAACCAGAATCAAAATGAATGATCTTTCAAAAACTGTAATGCGGAGCTGTTGCTAAATTGATATTTCACTAAAAACGCATTCTTTTGGAAAATCTAATCGCGGTTGGCATTATCTTACACAATGTACTCAATTGTCTTTTTTTTTATTTAATGAAATAACTTTATTTACAAAAATAGACTAATATCCGAAATAATTGATTACGCTCGGCCAAACATATTTATACAAGTTGTTATGTTCAGCACATGGAGATTTCGATTTTCAGTAAAACTGTAAATTACATAATAATTTGTAACAATAAGCGAAATCTGTCCCACAAGATATCAAATATTAAATACTAAACAGTCTGATTACACAACAGAGACCAATAGTCCACATTTACTCTTATTAATTAATTCTATATAAATGTATTGTTGGGAACATCGTTTTCCCTGCTGGTCTGTTCTTCAGTGAAAACTGATTACAACATGTAAAAAAACAATCCATTTACGATAGGCTGCATGCATATAATCAACTAAGGATGTTTGTATTCCGTGACTCTTTCGTACTTATTTAAAAGGTCAATTATGATAATTTGCTATTGATTACAGGTTTTGGTTAGTCTATGTTTCAATTCAAACACCATTTCTAGACTTGAGGCAATTAAGAGGCATATTGCAAAGGCACTTGTAGAACCGTATGTTGACATTTGGTGTGTTTGTATTGTTAGATTGCTGTTTTATTGGCGTATAGCTCACACCTACATTTATTCACATTGCATAATTATGACCTTTGTTTTATAAAAGCGAAAAGAAACAAGACTTTTCCAATACGTTAACTCTAAAAGTTACTCCTGTGTTGTTGGACAATGAGTGATGGTATTTGTAATAATAATAATAATAATAATAATAACTTTATTCGTAAGCAATTAATACAGCTCATAGAATATATATACATTTTACAAATATTCACAGCAAATAGCATCAGTGTCCAGCCAATAATTAATGCACAAACAATATGAAGTCACAACGGCAGAGAATATATACAACGTGGTCAACATTTACTGATCTTTTCAACCTCACTGCTTTGTTTAATTTAAAATGAATGATAACCCCCGCACATGCCACATGTATAATAATTCTGGGAAAAGTCACAGCTATCATTTATTAATATAATAATATATATTATATTATTTCATGTACATGTATGTGGATGTCAACACAACACGATATAATTGATCCACACGTGTCATTGTAGCGTCCGTGTCAAGGCGACACAATAACAAACATGCTAATATATAAATGAACTTCATAAACAAGCTATGACAGGATTTCAAAATAAAAGTTGGTCGAAAACTTTTGAGTATTGGTGACCTTCTTATTAAACATGATCGATTTGATATTTCCTAAAAGATGGTACACATCTATAATTTATTTCCGTTCAAATCACTATCTTGATCATAAATATGATTTATTTATTGAATCAAAACATGCCTTTCATAACTTATACCTTGAATACCTTTTAAATAAAGTTGTAAGAAAACATCAAGGATACGAAACCATCTGTTACCTTTTCATCAATACAATTACATATCGTTGTACATAAACTTTATGATGAGTAGTATGATTTTATCACGTTGTTTATCTGTATTAAGAATCATCTTCGAACAAGCCTTTTTCTTAGCTAAATGCAATATTAAGATTTAATAAGGAGGAGGGTGCATATAGTGTCCTTCGTTTGTTAGTCATTTTGATCAAAAACTTCTTCAACGTGTTAAAAAAAAAAACGTATTTTTTCATTTTATTGTAAGTTATTTTACTGAAATTTTTAACCAAGAAATCATTTTTTGTTGTTATAATATTCAGGTCAATTAGAAGTGTTTTCATTACAATTGTACTCAAATGAAAGCTTTTTCTAGTAATTTCTGCATTCCGTTTTTAGCTTTCCTCTGTCTAGTTATTCATGTAAGCAACTATATTCACCATATCATTTAACACCACGGCATTTGATTTATGGGGAATTTAGACTTTTTATATGAAATAACAAAAAATCTTCCAGAATTATTTAGTGTGTTTAAACGCAGTAATTAGACTGTAATCGTTGCTTAGTTACAGCGAAACAATTAAAACCAGTACCTTATTTATATCTTTCTGAAACCTACATTTATTCATGTCAAATGACCATGAAGTTATATATGCATGAACGTATACGAGTGTCTTTAATGGATTAAAACATGAATTTTGGAGACGATTTTAACGTCTCACCCTTTGCGGGGATAGATGTGTGTTTCAACCTTGTACGTAGTTGATACGAACTATTTTGAATGGCAAAACACTAAAACTTTAAGCGTATGTTTATACATACTTGGACACCAGATAAAGTGGTAGCAGGTCAATTAAGAGTGATTTGGAAAAAGAAACTTTGGTCTTTAAATAATTGTACGCTTCAAAGACACAGAAAGAGGGTTTGTTGATATGTGTTGCCTTCATGCTTAAGTGAAAATAAAAACTTGTAAATTAATGACCGTTGAAATCAGTCCTAGCAGCATAGCAAAAGAAGCCTTGATGGCCTTTAGCTAAGAAAAGGTTTGTTTGAAAATGAATTTTAATGATGTATACCTTTTTCTAAGGCTGCAGCTTTAAGGGAGTGTTGGCTGGTTGATTGTGATACATAAGCACCTGTCTTGATTATATTCATTTTTTCTAGTGTTACCACGGTAACGACAATAAATGTGATCAAAAGCTGAAAGAAAAGTCTGAATAATTAATTAATAAAAAACTAAACGTTATCTACAATTTTTTATGATTCATGAACTGATTTAAGAAATACCAAAAACCTCATTTAAAGGTTCACAATATTCTGAAAGCATAATACAATATTTAAGAATATTTATATACACGTCACATGTTATCAGTCCTTATCGAAAACATGTTGAAAAAAGATTTGTATGATTCAAGTCTCTATAAAGAGTTCTAAAAAAACATATTTTAGGCATGAAAAACAATTGATAGGTTGGCGGTATAACAAAATAGTTATAGACTGAATTGTTGGTCAACTGCTGTTTAACCCTTCGGCTGAACTAGAACAGTTCAATCTTCATGTCAAACAAAACAGCCGTTGACCTCAAACCAAGTCAAATTATATACTGTCACACAGCAAATTGTAATAAAAGCTGAAGTACGCTTAGAAAATGAATTTACTTGTGAAATAAATACATCTAGTCTACTGGCCAAACCTATTTTAAGTGATACATAAGTATAGTCACTGTTCAAATGCAAATATAGTGAAAACTATCGAAAAAGAATTTTAAATTCACAAATTCATGTTGTTATTATTCGCTGGAGACGCTATCATTTAATTTATATCATAGTGTTTCTTCAATTCCATCATATTCTGATAAAAACAGAATTTGTAATAAATTCTATAAACAATTCTCTCCATTTCAATTTACTGAAATGAATAACAAGATCTTCTGGGAATTGCAAATTGTATGGCACAACGCATTTCAAAACTAAAAATAACTATCATAGTGATATTGAACGGCTAATGAGAAATAATGGTCTTGTATAAGGTACATAAAACCCACTGCAAAAAAATAACACGGTTTATGATAGCTTGCTATGCGGTACGGGATTTGCTCATTGTTGAAGACCGTAAGGTAACCTATAGTTGATAACTTCTACGTCATTTGGGCTCTGGTAAAGAGTTGTCTCATTGGAAATAATATCTCATCTTATTTTTATAATACAACAACTGCATGGATAAAAGTGAAGTACAAATATCAAAAACTCTGTACATTATTTCTTTACAAAAGCTGCTGCAACGTTTACACGAGTGCCATCATAACGTCTTATTCATTTTTCTTTTCCCATTATCAAGCTCTCTTTCTATTCTAAACAGGTAGTGATCCAAAACTTTTCAAAAGGGTGGTTCTTTTTGGTTCCTTTTGGTTCCTTTATAATTTTCTTCAATTTTTACATGCATTGAGTTAAGCCATTTCAATTGATATTTTATAGTGTGTCTTTCTATGTTGTGATGTTACACTATTGTTTCAGATAAGGGTGAAGGTTTGGTATCATTAAAACGTTTAAACCAGCTGCAATTGTTTGCACCTGTCCTAAGTCAGGAATCTGATGTTCAGTAGTTGTCGTTTGTTGATGTGGTTCATAAGTGTTTCTCGTTTCTCGTATTTTATATAGATTAGACCGTTGGTTTTCCGTTTGAATGGTTTTACACTAGTAATTTTTGGGGCCCTTTATAGCTTGCTGTTCGGTGTGAGCCAAGGCTCTGTGTTGAAGACCGTACTTTGACCTATAATGGTTTACTTTTATAAATTTTGACTTGGATGGAGAGTTGTCTCCTTGGCACTCATACCACATCTTCTTATATCTATTTGAAAAAAAATATTTCCAACTCCCTGATTCCCCTCCTTTAAAATAGCCATTGGAAAGTGTTAATTGCATGTTGTTTATTAAATGTACATACAATTAGGTTCCTTTTTAAGAGTCGAAAACAAAATGAAACAAGTGAAACTGCGAGCTACTGCTCACTGATGATACCCCCAGCCCAAATATTTGACGGTAAACAGGAAGTTGTTGAGTGATGAATCTGAAAACGCATCATACGGTATAACTGACTTATATAAACACTGAAACCAAATTTCAGAAATCCTTGTAATGTAGTTCCTGAGAAAAATGTGACGAAAATTTTCAACTTGGATGTGTTATGTAAAATGATGCAAGTGTTCGGTAAACAGGAAGTTTTTGATTGATCAATCTGAAAACGCATCACACGGTATAGCCGACTTATATAAACCCTGAAACCAAATTTCAAGTATCCTTGTATTGTAGTTCCTGAAAAAAATGCGACGAAAAATGTTCATGGGACGGACTGACGGATGGATGGACAGACAGAGGTAAAACAGTATACCGCACTTTTTTAAAGCGGGGGTATAAAAACACAAAAAACGATCAAAAGATAAGCAGTATACAAAACACAACATAGAAAAATAAAGACTAGACAACATGAACCCCACTAAAACTGGAAGTGACAGATCCTGCTACATATGTGGCACCCGTCGTGTTGCTCAAGTACAAATCCGGTAATAAGTCTAATTCGATAGGTCACTTTCATGGAAAAGATGACGGGTTGTGATTACGACAATTGGAACATATTCGTCGTCATCTGTGAAACAGATATTCCATAACGGTCAACCAACTCGTGATGGCGTACGTAAAATTTTCGAAGGGATGATTTCAACTTCACAATTTGGTTTAATATCTTCATTGTAAGCAGCAATCGTCTATCAAGAGTCGATGATGAGTCTTTTGTAGACGTAACTTGCGTTTGGAGTACACAATTTTAATCCTAGTATCTACGTCGAGTTTATTTAAAGCCTTGTCTGTGACGTTGGAACATATGTTTCCTTAGAATTTTATTTATGCAGGACCGAATGAATTCTCACGTCATCCGCTTCATGTAAAAAAAATCGAGCCTCGTGTTTCTATCAATGTCTATGCCTCGTAGACACAAATTTTCTGTTCTGAGACAATGTTTGGTTGTTTTTACTGGGGTTTTTACTATTGAGCTTGTCTTAGTCTATGCATAGTTCATTTAATTAAACTTAAGCACAAGTTATATCGATATTTATTTTTCTTTTTTCGATAGACAGCTGATTTACGTATGAAGACTTTTTAATGCACCGTCTACTTCTCATGGATAATAAGCGTTTAATCTTATAGAAAATTATTGCAAGATTAATGGAAACATCAAGTGTAGTTAGTTAATCTTGATTCATGACACAGGCAACCCAATTTACTGTTTTGTAACACGCTTTTTATTTTCCAGAAGAACGTGTACTTTTCCCAAAGGCCGTGATAATGTTACAAAACGCGTGATGAAATGTATTTTCATTTTATTATGACTTATTTACGCTAAACTGAAGGAGATAATCAATGCCATGAATTATGTACATAAAACCATAAGAGAATTGTTGAAAATTATTTACCACTTCGTATATATGATATATATTGGCCATACATTAACAACCATTGATGGCCTTTATTTACTTACTCCAGAGGGAATCAATTTCAACTTAAATATCATGTGGGAGAAATTTACCTGTATACTTCCTAGAATAACAAAGGCCGTCCTGGATTTACTCAGGTGTTGTGCTCTAGTTATTCTTAAACTATTTGACGATGATGTCACGCCATCAACTAATGGAGTGCAATCAATGTTGACTAGGAATGGTGCAGCTATCATCGGGCTTATAAAAGCACCAAGACCGTAGAAAAAGTGCATGGCCTGAAAAATAGAAATAGCAAATAGTTGTATTTAAATGTACCCATTATCGTCAAATATGGTCCTTACACTTACTATTTTACCCAAATTTGCTCACCCAATTTTGCTTATATAACAGAACTATAAACAAATATCATACAAGTGGGAGGTTTATCTAGCTATAAAACCAGGTTTAACACACTTTTTATTTTCTTCAAAAAATGCCTGTACGAAGTCAGGAATATGACAGTTGTTTTTCATTCGTTCCGTTGATTGATAGCGTTTGTGCAATGATTTTGTCAGTTTTTATGGATTTCCCCTTTTTGAATTTACCTTGAAGTTCGGTATTTTTGTTAAATTTTTTTACCTAGCTAATCCGTGGGTTTTTTTTTGTTTGTTTGTATTTTGTGTTTTAGTATATATTGTTTCCCCTGTGTTTTAAGGTATTTTTTGTGTGTGAAGGGGAGCAGGACTGGTGATTCTTCATACACTGTGGCATAGAATTACCAGTTTAAAACATTAGCTTGAGGTTTATTTCATTTTTTACTCGAGATAGGGCTCAAAGATGTATAATGCTTACCCATAAAACACAGTTTTGTGTACAAGTTTTAGTGTATAGGTCAATCAAGGAGAATGTTTGTCTGATATGTGAAAGAGAGGCAAAAGATACCAGAGACAATCAAACTCAGAAGTCGAAAAAACTGCATGAAAACAGCATGGCTTAAAAAGAAAAAGATCGACAGACAAACAACAGTACACAAAACACAAAATAGAAAACTAAAAGCTGAGCAACACGAACCCCATCAAAAACTGAGGGTAATATGTCTCGTGAACTAGATTAATGAAATTTCATCGGATACAATGATTCTTCGAAATTTAAATTAAAGGTAATCGTTTACCTCATTATCAATTGATTTTACGATTAACCTTTTTTTTTTTATAAAACTGTACCGACTTTTTCCATAAGAAAGTTATAGGTTAAACCAAGTGTCTGGATCGAAACCTTCTACGTGTGTACAATTGTTCATACAGTTGAAACCGCCAAGACGGCGTAGTAATGGTCGCTTTCAATTAAAAAAGTTTTGTAAATAGAACAATTTTAAAACGTAGAACTTTAAATCACCTTTTAATTTATGAAGTTTTTCACAACATTAATGATGGAAATGTATTTATCTGTTTTTAAGAGTTATAAGTTAAGCTTGTGAACTATCTCCTATTCTTCTGAAATATAAGCAAGAATTTGTTTCCGTGCAACAAGTTATTGACTGCAGTAATATTGTTTGTGCTTGTATGCAATTAAAGAAAATAGAAACCCCATTATCAAAAGTTGTAGATGCAAACAGTGGTTATGAGAGTTTTTAGGGAGATGTACACGTGACTGTGTCTGTATCATTTGAAGACTACCACATTGTATTATTTCGAATTGATAAAGCTTTAGACTTTTTTATTGCCAGTCTGTATGTTTATCATCGCAGATGAAATGGAAGTTAAGTGAGGTATCAAGGGAAATACATCATCAGAATGGTATCTTCTTAACGTTGTGTTAACGTTTGTTATATCTACTTATATTATTGCTATCTTTTGCTGAGAATAGCGAAAGGAAATTGAAGTGATAATTGGCCTAAACTCGAGAATCGTCCTGGGATATAAGTAGTCTACAGAATTGACACAAAGGCGATTTGCCCAGCATAGAATTCCACTTAAAGTCATAACATCTATCCATTCGCTGTCAAATCAATGCTTTTCAAAGTCGATCAGTTCTAATATATATCATCCCATGATTATCAAATATACATGCGCAAAGGGCATGACAATGAAAAATTCCATCTTAATATCAACTTGTCTTAATCAGATCAATACTGTATGTATTTTGTTATTATGTTAGTTGTTTTGTGCCAATCTGTTGAGTTAACCCATGACCAACTGATATTTACAGTATGTTCTTATATTGTTCTGTTACACCATTGTCTTAGGTCAGGAGAAGGTGAAGCGTTCACACACGTTTAATTCCGCTACATGCTCCATATGTGCCTGTCCTAAGTCATACAGAAGCCTGCAATTCTGTGGTTGTCGTTGGTTGCGCGAGTCTGTCATATTTATTTTTCATTTTAAAAAAAAATCTTTATTCGTTTTAAATCACATTTGCTGGGACCTTTTTTTCTGACTATACGGTATAGGTTATGCTCATTGTTGAAGGCCGTTCTGTGACCTATAGTTGCTTACATGTACGTCACATCATTTGGAATTATGATGGATAGTTTTTTCCTTGGCAATCATACCAGGTCTCCTTAATTCTATATTGATATCCCTAACATATACCCATACGTTTATTGCACAGCCCAGGAACGTAAACTTTTTCTAACTTTGTAATTTAAGAAATAGAAAGGAGACCGTTTAAAATTGTTATGAAAAGAGTATGACCAAAGAGGAAAAACAAAGATCCAAACAGTTACACATTTTACAATTGTATGTAAAGCATCGTGGTAAAAACGTATTCGTGGTGATTTTAGTGAGAAGTGCTATCTTTCTTCTTAAATAAGATGTGTAAAATATTTTTTGTGTGTCAATTTTTGGAAATTTAAAAAAGATAAACACTGGATTATTTCATAAGTAATCCACCAAGTGTCATTTGATAAAATAGTTTAAGGTTTTAGATTTTTTTTAATATATGATTGGATACTGCCATGTCTGTAACCGAATGTATAAAACAAATTTGAGGAAAGTATAAGATCGCTTTATGTTAGACAAATGTTTTGTGTTATGACTGTTGTGAAAAGTGGAAAATATTCTTGAATAAAATAAACTAAGTGCCAATAGAAATGAAACGCCTACTTGTATTAAAATAAAACAGACAGATTTTCGTGGGAGTTGACTAAATATTAGATTTTGCAGACTTCTTAAGATATGTGTACAACTTCTATCTAATTTTCGAGGGCTCTTCGATTTGAAGCATATGATTCGCAAATTCCACATTTAAACCCCAAAATATGAAATTACTCGGTATATATTTTCCATTCTTTAATCGTTTGGTTGGCTTGAATACATATGTCTGATTTCATAAATAAAATGGTCTTTAATTCATTATTAGAAATATTTTTATCTAAAAAGTCCATACCGCAGCCAGATTTGAAAAAAATACAGAATTGAACAGTGAACTTTACCTGCAAGAATGGCGTAACGTTGGTTCCAAATCTCATGATCATCCTCAAATTCGCCACACAATCAATGCAGCCCATACACCATCCCATCAGTAGCAAGTCGACCAATAACCAGGCAAAGACCGTACAAGATGGAACAAGGTACATAAATAACGGCAATCCAACCATGCCAATTAGTAACAATACATACACAGGGACGGCTCTGAAAAGAAAGCATCAATAAATAAACAAGTTTTTAAGGCAAACTTACCATTCTGTGAAATAGAACATGTAAATTTCTAGGGTCGGAGAAAGTAAAAAGCCGCGCATAAATAATGATAGAAACAAACAGGAAAAATGTAAATGCTTCGGACACATGAAATTTATAACGTGTTGTTTTCATTTTTTAAGATGATTAATTGAACTTCTTAAAGGACAGAAAATAAAACAACACAATTCTGTCAAAACACTTACAATTTACGGGTCAAATATGAGAGTAGATGCGGTAAAGGAGGGATAATGACACAAGAAAAGCTGTTGGAAATAAATAAAGAGACTTGTTGGAATTTGTGTGCATGTTACGACAGACTGGTAGAGACGTTCTATTTTTAAAGATTCCCATTTCCATTTTTCCATTTTTTACTTCCAACTTGACATTTCTCACTTATAACTTTACATTTCTCGGTTCCAAGTTGACACGGATTTTGAACTGAAGAAATGTCGATTTGGATCTGAGAAATATCAACATGGAACTTAAAAGTACCAACTCAGAACTTGTTAATGCCAACTTTGAAATTAGAAATGTCAAATTTGAAATATAGAATTTTAACAACAGAATGTTCCTACCGATCACTCATCGACATGTGGGTAGTTTTTTTGTTTTTGTTTTTGTTTCATTTATTTACCCAGAACCAAGTGTTTTAGAGTGAAAATGCATTAGTTTGTCAAAACGATCGGACATATTTTCTGAACAAATCTGTACACAAGATCATAGGATAAACAAATGCAAACTTAATAGCATAAACGTTTATACATGGTTGATACAAAATTGAGGAAGTGTGGTATGATCTATCTTCAAGAGTCAAGTGGTAGTAAGCAATTATAGAACACCGGACTCTACTTTGTCCGATTTGAAAGTTTAGAATCCTATCAGATATCAAATTATCTTTTCCTTTCGTTTAACTTTTTCATTATCATTCTTAAATTTAAAATAAAAAAAATAACATCATGTATTATCATGATACAAGTACATTTTTGTAATAGCCATTAAATAGAGTAACGCCCTTTTTTGTCCAAAGACTCTTTCTTTCTTCAATGAAATAAACATGATAGTTACATTTGTACAAATTAAGAGGACATTGTTATAAATTGAAAACCTTTTGGTACAGTCTATATATCACAATAATTCCATGCACTAAATTCGTATGGTACAAATATACAAATAGGATGCTTGTAATCGTGACTATGCTTGTGGTATAACCATACCAACTGACATAAAGGAAGAACAATGCACTGAAGTAAAAGAATAAATGTAAACTCAAAACGAAAATGAAATTACCGGATTAATCAAAGTTTACAAAACTCGCTGCGAGTTACAGAATATGCAAATAATTATGAAATCCTTTATTTAGAAAAAAAAAACAAGTTGTTAAATTTGGTTCGATAGATACAGTACTGGATGATATGAACTATAATGGATTGTAAATGATGTAGGAAATTTAGTTTTCAATACAAAAATTAATTTTACATGTCAACACCTGCAACAGGATTTCCGTGAATATGTCTTGGTAATGAGACATTGAGCGACATTACATATCGGAATATAACTTCAGTTCATCATTTAAATTAACAACGGAGATATTCCAGACGTGCATTGTTTTTATTGAAAATGCATCATGTTCAAATGTCTAATTTCTTTGTTGCGTTTTAAAAATTAATTTGGGCAATGTTTTAAATTTTGTTCCGTATCATTACTTGCACGATCGTCTGATTATGTATACATTGTATATATCTTTTTATGGACTAATTTCAATATTGCATTTTTACATCGCGATGACCTTGAGGTCATTCCGATGTATTGCTATCGCCTAGATTTCCATTATGTAAATTAGTTTTGGGTTTGTAACCGATCTATAAACATGATAAATATGCGCTCATAAACGAGTGCAAAATAACATTCCTTGTCATTTGATATAAATACATCTCTTCAATGAATACTGATAAAAATATTTTTGTTTACAACATAAATTAATAATGTGAAAATGTTTTGTAGTTAGATATATATATATAAGTAAAAAATCATTGATAATATCAATGCACACGTACCGAAAAATTGTGTTAAAGCATGCGGAAGAATATCTCAAAGAACGTTTTGCGACAGGACCGGTAACTCTGTAATTGTTTTTGCGGGAAAATATGAATGCCTACCAATCTTAGAAAAATCGAATTTTTACAGAAAAGTGTCCACCATGCACTTGCATTGCACTATTATTAGAACAGTAGAATAGAATGATATACAAACGGATGCAAATCATATATATATGTAACTGTTATTTTAATATAATATATAACAACAAATCAGTGTATACTGATTTGTATCACTACAATATAATAGTTATTACGGTGAAGTTGAATTTCCTGTCATTTATTCATCATACTCGCACGCACTTGTCTAGAAAAAAATATATCTCTGTACATTAACCTGAGTTTCAGGTAAAGAGATATGTTGTTTTTTTCTGAGACAAGTGCTTTTGACCATCCTCAAGAACTTGTGGTCATCCGATGTTCAGTACTTCAGTACTTTGATTTAATCAAGCAAACTGCTAGATAGACTTGTAATTATTTATATAACGTTGTATTTTTGTAACTCCCTCTGCTAATGTTAAATCAATGGCTTGCCAAATACAATATATTTTACTTATTCGTTGTTTATCTTCATAATACACAGGAAAGTCCACGGAACTCTTAGATGTCATATGTCAAAAGTGTATCGATCATATTTAATTTAGCAATATCTTCTCAGTCTGAACGAATTCGAGGGATCCGCCGCTTGATTGATTCTCAGTCTGAACGAAGTCGTGGGATCCGCCGCTTGATCAATTCGTTGTTGTTATCTTTGAGTCCATTGGCAAATATTTCATGCATGTTCAGGCCGATCAACTGCTTGAAGTTTAACATCTTTCTATACAGTCAGGATTCTACTTCGTCAAAATTATCTCCCCATTACGCCAGTTCATTTTTACAATCGTAAAAATGGAAGCCATTGTAGGGATGACGCGCTGCCAATTTAGCTCTTGGAAACCGATAAGTTTATCCGCATAGCACCATTACGATCCTTATATGCCAGTTGTATTTTAAAAGACAAATGTATCTACTAGCTAATGAGCATCAGTTAATGTACTTGTCTGCATTCAGTCAACTTAAAACTATTGTCTGATCGGTTGTCAGGTGGAATTTTCGAAAATTCATAAACATTTAAAAAAAAATTTAATTTAATATTTCGTGGAAGGGCAGACTAAAAAATTTCAGTGGTTGAAGACTATAAACCCTAGATATCACACACAAAAAATGAAGTTTTTTGGAAGATACGCATTTTTAAGATCCAACTTAAAAGTCTGTCGTCAAGTACTTTTAGTAAAAATTTGCTATTCGAACACACCTACTCTGTTTTTGTGATTCATTAGAAAGGTATTTCACTTGACCTATATATTTCATTTTTTTAGTACTGTGAATTTTTGATGTTATAAAGTCAACCTGTAGCCTTGATATATAAAAATGATAGAATCTGAAGCGAGATGATGTATCAAATACTTTTGCTTTTTACGTTTTCAAGACAAAGTATTCAACTCAAACACGCCCTAACATAAAAAGGTGCGCTCGATTTTCTCTTTTCGACGCAATTGTTACCCATTTTTGGAATTTTTTCTTGAGTCACATAATGGAAGGGCAGAAACGAAAATTAAGGAACAAATAGATTGATATGTTCTCTGTCCGTGGTAATTTTTTTTGAAAAATCGGAGGTTATGCATTTTTAAGATCCAACTTAATAGACACCCATGTCGTCGACCTGATACTAATTGTTCTGCTTAATTATGTAATAGATAAATTGAAAACTTATGCAAATTGTGTTTTTATGATAAAATATTCCGTAATTTAGCCAAAATCTGTCATTTTATTTGTTTCTATTAACTTTTAAAATTTGAGTTACTACAGTAAACATTACAGTAAGCATTTATCGCCTTCTCTAACAAAGAGCTTCGATTCTTTTGTTCTATTTCAACTGGGTTTCCGCCTGTATAGTGCAAACGTGTGTATTAGTCACTGTAATAATTAAATATGATGTATGCATATCGACATTGTAAAGAATGCATAAGTACACGTAAGAATTAATTTATTCTCTGTGGTATTATTGGGTGAACGTCCGATTCGTTGTTATATTATTAAAGAATTCTAATCCCAACTGATGCGTTTTTCTTAATCAAATGAATAATATTATTTACTTTGCAACAATCTTTCATTTTGTTAAATTGTCAGTGCACGATCAAATTACAATGACGGGTTGAAAAACAGTGTATATTGTGTGAAATTGTAGGGAAAATTAAAATGATTAATAATTTCGAAGTCCTTTTCATTGCAACTGTGACAAATTTTTTTTTAATCTTTATAAATTATTTTATCGTGCATCTTTGCAAGTAAAATATAAGCTGATTAAAACAAATGTCAGTGCAAAGAAATCAATTACTCACAGATGGCTTAAATGCATTCAATTTATATGGTAACGGTTGTTTCAAAATAATAATGTTTTAAAATATCGAATAAATTGCTGAGAGAAAGTCCATTCAATGGGAAACTTTCGAGGGGAAATCTGGTATCCACAGTGGTTGGTGCTATTATCAAGGACGAAAGAAACTGAAATGTCGTATTTTATTAGGTCGATTCTACGCTTTGCTGTCTTTTGCAATACGACAGTATCACGATATGGAAATCACTTAGTTTACCGTTTGTGCGTCTCGCACTCAAAACACAAAAATGTAAGAAGATACAAAGATTGCCATTGAACACCAAAAGTGGAAATACATAAACTGCACCATGACCAAAAGGCAAGACGAAAACATAAAAAGTCAATAAACACTAAACAAAACACTTAAGATTGAGCAACAGGAACACCACAGAAAACAGTTACCTAAGGTGCTCCGAAAGAGTTAAGAGTTTCTTCTCCACTAT